TTTTTGAGCGTTGGTTTCCTCTCTTAGACTAAAAAGAAAAATAAAGAATGTAAATTAATATCATGAGTTGAGGACATGTTGAGGGTTTCTCTGTTTTACTTTGAAAGTAAGTTGGATTCACCCCTTCGAATAAATTATCCGTTATTAGTTTTATACGTGCAAATCAGAAATAGACAGTATTCTAGTGTTTTTTACCCTGCGTGTCTAGACACATTATTTTCCTTTTTTAAGCTTTCCTAAACGTTCATCAAAGCTCTTGCTAGTCCAAGCATATTGGAATAGTGAATGAGCACTCCAACAAACATAACTACGCCTCATTGGATCGCTGGACCAAGTTTTCTCAAGGCAATACTTAGTCTATTCCTTTTCCCTTTAAACAGGCCGCAATAACATCAAACTATTCGCATGCGCTTAATCGCCCTCTGTTTCTCCCACAAGTATCGGATTCACTTTGTGACCTATAGTAGGCCGACAACTTGTTTGGTCGCCCCCGTATTCATCAATCTCACTAAAATCAAGCTGTCTTGCAGTCGCAACTGAGGGAAGAGTTGTCGAGGATTGACCGAGCTTGGGTTTACTTGGCTGTGACGACTCTTCTTCCTCTAACATCATCTTTTGCTTCAATTCTGCCTCCTCTCGGCGCTTTTTGCTCCGTATTTCACGCACCAAGCGATCAGGAGAGGATACATAATTGGAAGGAAAGCATTTATGCGCCTCAGGTCCCCACCCTGGGGGCAGAGACCCGACCGACGCTTTGATACCCAGGGCTGCTGCCTTGTCCGACTTACTCTCAGGGTGATCTTGCCGCTTTGCGCTCGTCTTGGGTGCGGAGGCTTTACGCCTACGCATCAGCTTCTGTGGGCTTGAAACGTAGTTGTCAGGGAAGTGCTTACTTGCTTCAGGACCCCAGCCCAGACGGGCGCGCTCTAGCTTTTGAATACTCCGCACCGCCTCCAAAACATCCTGACTAGTCTCCTCCTCAATCCGAGCACGCCTCTTCGACGAAAACGAAGGCGCCACATGCACAAGGCTATTCTGAGTTCCCTGAGTTGATTCAGAGTATACCTTGTCCGTTTCGAAATGAGTTGCTGCCAACCCTGAAGGTTCAGGAAGCTTTGTCGCCCTGGAGCAATCGTTAAGTTTGCCCTCCTCTAATGGCAAAGGCAATGCAGGTGGGAGCGATTTGGGTACCGAAGCTACCTCAGGCTCTGGCTTCGCAGGAAGGGCTGCAGCAAATTGCAATTTCATAAATATGACCTCCTCTTTTACGAGCACAACCTGCGTGACCATATCCTTGGAAAATAACTCAGCACATGACGGTGTACAGCCGCCCACGCGCACTTCTGTCACTCGTATAGGTGATGTTTGCTTGCTGCCTCGACGAGAGAGAACGAAGCGCTGCACAGAGTCCTTAGCAAGTTGTCTGATAGTTGTTTCATGGCTAATTGGAACGCGAAAGGTGCCAGCGTGAATGCCATCCCCCTCACCTACAAAGGTAACGGTAGCGAACTGAGGATCCATAATTTTAATAATAATAGTATCTAGGTGAATGGAGCAGATATGTATAAAGATTAGTTTATGTTGTAATTGATGAATGCTCTCAAATTTTGAAAGCAATCGAATGCTTATTATAGGAAAGTGGATCTAAAAAAAATAAAAAAGATCAAATAAATCAACTCTAATATTTCTAGAAAATAAAAACTATCCTGAAAAAATGATTCCACTATTCCTCTATGTTTCTTTCAGGGCTGTCGATAGGTACGTGAAATAGAGGTCTTTCTTTCAGGAAAACCTGAGCGATGAAAATCAACTAAACAGCTATTAAGTAGAACAAAGTGCTTGAACAAATTAAGTGAATCTAAGAAAGAATGAAAATAAAGTATATCAAACTTCTATTTTTTCTATAAAAAGAAAGGAAAAAGAGAAATATAAAAGGAAAATTTTCGTGAATTGATGGATTACAAGGCAGTTTGAAAATCACGCAGCCGATTCCATTGCTACCAAACTTATGTCATTTCATGCATGGCGCTGACTCCTTTCCGACTTGCTAATTCCTTTGCAGATGGATACTGAGGACTACTCGAAATTCAAGCAAGTATAACTAAAATGAATAATTCTCCAAAAACTATAATTGCCGATGACGTATTTTTTGTACAAAAAATAAAGCAGATCTACCCTTTTTACACTTCAGACTACCACCGCTCATATTCGTCTGGAGAGATCGGATAGTCAAGTGATACCCGCGATGGGGTAACTTCAGGCAGAGATGAATCAACGGGAGGTCTCTGAAGGGTATCCGAGCGAAACGCAGGGCTGTGGAGCGCGGCATCGTTAGGATTCTGCGGCGATACGTCACCGTCGCCGTTGGCATCCACCGAGGCCCCTGCGGCGTGATCGTCAACGCTTTCTGAGTTTCCCTCGAGCGGTGGCGGTGAACCTCTGGAGGCCGCCCATTCCTGCTCATCGCGCGGGAAGGCGTGGGATCCACCCGGAAGCGGATAAGACGCACCCGACACCGCGAATTGAGGAGCCGGCGGAGGGTCCGGCGGGAGGGGAGTAGGCCGAAGGATTGGATTGGTCGGATACTCGGGAAGCCGTGAAGTGCTAAATATTTGACGAAACCTCATGAAGGCACCTTCAAAGAAGCTTTTCAGGACCTGCACCATTGTAAAAACACTGCGATCCAAAGACTGGCGACCTTTGAGATACAGCTGCGAGCTGAAAATCTTGTAATTTTCCGTGGCTCGCGAAAGCTCAATGCGCCAGTTCTCCAGAATCTGTTCATTACGTGGGATACGAGAAAAGTCTTTAGGCGGCTTTTCGCGCAAACGGTTGACTTTAGATTTGAAAAAGTTATACTCGAGTCGATTGCATCGGCGCACATCCTCAAGGTTACTGAGTTTCACACATTCTTTCGTGAAATGTGTGAGCAGATCGATGCAATTACTCTGCAGCCCTATACGATGTTCGCTCGAAAGCTCGATGAGTCTGATACCTATTTCATAGACGCTCTCTGCGAGCTGCCTCGACTCCACCGCCAGATCGGGTGCTTGGCGGTGCTCCTCACCAATTTCTTTGAGGGTCTTTCCAAGGTCCTCTAGCAATCTTATTGAGTAACTCAACTTTTCTGAGATGGATCGACTTCGAGCTACCAGTTCTGACACTTTTCGCGCGACCTCTTCGATGGACGTGTCTTCAGGGTTCGCATCGACTCTAGAAACCTTTTCCTTAAGGCTCTGGGAGGTTCGGCGTGCAAGCCCTTTAATAGCCTCCATCATTGCAGTCCTCTCAGCCTCGCGCTAATCTTTCTAACGTAGTTCCTGTTTTTGACACGGTACTGAGAGTAGAAGTCTTTATAAATCTTAAAAATAAAGAAAAAAACGGTAAGAATTAGGAAACGATATAATTAGAAAACAAATGAAATTTAAATCATCGATTTATCCATTTCAATGAGAATACATTACAGAGAGAAAACTATTCATCAATAACATAAGATCAAAGGGAGACCTTGTGAAAGACACACGAACTAACCTCTGACTTACAATCACCCAAACTAACAAAAATCTAAATTTAACTCTAATTTTGAGCTCTCACCTTGCAATTTCAGTATTCTACGATTTTCGGTTATCCACAACATCACTACAAACTCTAAGCAAGCCCTGGCAAGAGAAAATCGAATAAATAGCAAACGAGCATCTTCTATTGTTGTAGCAAAGCTCATGAAGACTAAGTACTGCAACTTCGTTTGAAAAGAGTTTATTTTTGTAATTTCTGAAAAATTTGCTGAAACTGATTATACGAACAAAAAAACGACTCGATAAAAAATGTTTTTCCCAAGGTAATCAAAGCTCTGTCTGCACACGATAACTCTAAAATGACTTATAAACCAAATTCCCTGTTACTTCCGATGTTTGAGAGCGATGAAGCGCCCAGCCTGCTTTTTGGAGGGGAGGTAACAAAAATTATGGTCAAACACTGTGCAAGCTCTCTGTTTTTTTGATAGAGCTGTACTATTTTCTCACAAACTTGTCACCTCTAATTCACACGAAGAAATGTAATAGTAATAGCTTGTGTATTAATAAAAAAGGAGCTAATCTGATTACCAGTAAAGACACAAAGCAATCTATATGTATCAAATTTACTCGAATAGACCATTCAGAGGACAAAGTGAAATTTATACCAATAACAAAGAAGCCAGGGATCTAAAGGATTAAACTATTAATAGTCGGGGTTATTAAGATCGCAATTTTCAGAAAGTTTGAACTCTTCATGTCCAACACACTTATTTTCCTTCCAAGTTCCTGTGCAGATGGATCCATCTTTGAGGATGATTCGCCCCTTGCCCTCCTTTTTGCCATGCACCCAGCCCCCCTCGTAGCTTGAGCCATCAGGGAGGAGGAGCTGACCCTCACCATGGCGAAGATCATTCATCCACATGCCTTCATAGCGACAGCCGTTGGCATATTCGAGCACACCGTAGCCGTTGGCTCTGTCATTTTCCCATTCCCCCTCGTACGTATCTTTGTTGCTATACGCGAGGATGCCATGACCCTGCTTCTTTCCTTGATACCACTCCCCTGTGTAGCGATCGCCCTGGAGATAAGTGAGCGTTCCGGTTCCGTGGGCCTTATTTGCTAGCCAGTACCCTTCATAATGCTCCCCGTTCGCGTAAATCAGAACACCGTAGCCCTGCTTAACATCCTCAACCCACTCACCCTCGTACTTGTTGCCGTTGGAAAAGATATAAGTACCCTTGCCATGCATCTTTCCATCCTGCCACTCACCCTCATAAATTCCACCATCGGCATAGTAATACTTACCCCAGCCCTGCATACGTCCATCCACCCAGTTACCCTCATACTTCTCCGATACTCCGCCGTCAGGTGCCATGTAGGTAACCGTTCCTTTACCGTGGCGCTTATCCTCTTTCCATTCACCCTCATAGCTGTCACCATTGGCGTAGTGGTAAGTGCCCGTGCCATGCATTCGCCCATCCTTCCACTCCCCCTTGTAACTATCCCCGTCGGCATAGTCAAGGGTGCCGCGGCCGTTTATGCGGCCAAAAGTCCAGTCACCTGCATAAACATTGCCACTGGCATAGTAGCACGTTCCCTTGCCATGCACCTTGTCTTCCAGCCACTCACCCTCGTAACGGCTACCATCGGCGTAGGTGTACACGCCGTGGCCATGGCGCTTCCCGTACACCCAATCACCCTCATATTTTTCCTTATTTGGATAAACAAGAAGGCCACGGCCATGCATCTGGCCGTTCTCGATTTCGCCGGTGTACATCATTTTCCTGGAAAGTGTCTATAGATCTATATGAATGTTACCCCTTTAATCGCTTGAGTCAGGGATGCTGAGTAGAAGCAAACAAGTAATAAATGGAAAATGACTATCATGTAAGTTAACAATGTATATTCTCTAGTGCTTCAGCATGCATACACATCTACTGTCGAGCATTTTATTTCTATTTGTAGTGTCGTGAATGAAAATCAATAGCTTTCATCATGTAAATGCAGGGTAAGATATTTTCTGCTGTATTTCCATTATTCAAGAGGTTCTTAGTAGTTAAACGAAAGGGCACCACTATAGGCGAATAGAAAACATGCATAAATGCAATGTATTGATAATGGAAAGCTAGCGCGGACCTCTCTTGCTTCAATACAGATACGTTTAAATTGGATATTCTCCATCGATACACAGAACCTGATAATTTATTAATTTCAAGATAACTTCGTTAGGGTTACTGCTATCAAAATCTGACATATGAAGGATCCTTCAATCTCTACACAACAGAATAAGCCATATTCTTTAATTCCCATTCTAGGTAAATATTTTTGAAATACATTCCTCACTTTGAAGGGATTACACCTGGAAACGGTGAGTGTAGATGAATTTCGGGACAAAAACTAAATAATTCAAAACTATATTTGGCCCATCCGACATCCGTATTCCCTTTAAACACACGGAAAAGGCTTACTAGAGTCGAGAAAAATTAGAAAGTCATAACAAGAACCCCACTAAATAAATGACCTTACTTTGGTTCCTCTTCCATATCACCGGGTTCATCATTGTCCTCATCGCCTAGGTGTCGCAGATCTGCAGCGAACTGCTCCAGTAAATTGGGTGGAATGCCCCCATTCTCGAAGAGGACATTCGCTGCTATTTCTTGATTTCTTTGCGTAGCGAGGTAGACCATCAGAGCGCTCTGTTCATCCCACATTCCTGCACCAAGCTCCACAAGTTGCTGGACAGCCGCTTGATCCGAGGCAGTGAGCTGCAACTCTACAGGAACGGTGTCCGTAATATTGCCACTGGCGCCCGTTGTCATGGGATTCCCAGGTTGGCCGGCTGTTTCGTTCATCACTTGCAGAAATTCTTCTTGATTTGCTTCGATAAGCTGAAAAATATTTGGATAGCGATCTCTAATTTGTTCTATCACTACTGGAAAACTCGCCTGGTTGCTCTGGAAAACGGCGCGGATGTTTTCGAACTGTGGAATCGTCCACAGGGCAGTGCGCAATTCGGATGCACCAGGCGCGGGTTGCACACTCGAAACGGCCCTGAGCACATTGCTAGATCGTGTTGCCGCGACCGACGTCGGGGTTGGAGTCGTGGCGGGATCCGCCACCGGTTGAGTGGGATGGCTGAGCTCTCGGAGCAGGTTGGGCGGGATGCCCGTGCAGAGGTACTCCACGGCGCGGTCCGGGTTCATGAAGGCGGCGCGCAACGCCAGGGAGACCTGGGCGCGGTCCTCAAAGCCCATCGCGACGATACCGTCAATCAAGCCGCTGCTGACGTCGCTGGTGGAATCCGGATTCACACGAGCAGGGGGCAGGGGGGTGGGCGCCACGGCGGCCGTCGCCGCACGGGGCTCCGGGATTGGTTGAGGGGAGGGTTGCACCTCAGGGGAAACCCCGGGGTGCGTCGTGGGGTCAGCACTTGCGGACGGGATGGTCCCGCTTGTGGTCGGCGAAGAGGGCTGTGGAGGTTTGGGGATGCTGCACTTCTTTCCTGTGATGATAAGTGTGGCGTTTTCAGCCATTTTAGCGTCCTCAACAGTTACCGTGTCAGCAAGAATAGCGCCTTTGTAGCATAATCGAAGCGTGCTGATATCGTACTCTGATTCTAAGGTCTTTTTGATATCAAGAATTGTAGTGGTCGCCGAAACATCCAGATCTTGCATCTTTCCGGTTATAGTTTTGAGAAATATCTTCATTTTTTCAAATAATTACGACTTATTTGAACTTACCAATGCTGTCTGTATGTAGATCTGTCTTCGTTAAGGAAAGGCACTGAAAACAAATCGTGAAAAAAAAGAGAACTATATTGCCTCAAAGTAAAATTTCGAAGTGATATTTTGGCTCTAGGAAGGGAAGTCAGAGAAGAGAAAATATAGTGAGAAGAAATAAATTTTCCTGCACTAATAGACATACTGCGCCAAGCCTTGCAAACCTCCAAGGTTACAAAATTACCACCGTCATACGCATCATGGCATTTGGATTCTCATCAAATGGGAAAAAATACTGTACATGTTTTGTTATTATACAAAGTAACTAAATAGGCAACGCACGTTTAACGGAACATGAATTGACCTATATGTTAGATGCTTTAAAACTCCACCCCTCACGGGCCTACAAGGGGGGGGGGGGGGGGGGGTTCTGTAGTTCGTACCACCTAGGTATGTCTTTCCGTCTATTGTAGAAAGGATCAAACATCTACTGTGCCCTCAGTGGTGATATGGTCATCAAACTATCTGAGGGACTCAATTTCTAGCACAGTTGCACCATAACGGGCGCAGCAAAATCGCATCAAGGGGGACACAATATTGCCGCTGAAGAAATATCCGCAGCTTCTGTGCTTGCCCTGGAACTACTATCTGGGAAAAAGACGCTGCTACACTTCTTCACCGGTTCATACTGATGAGGGCAACATTCTTGAAATGTCTTGTGATGCTTTTTTATGGTGTCAAGTTGTTTCTTCTTCTCACGTCTGTTACGCTCTCGCAGTATGGTCTCAAATGCTGGATTTTTGGAATTTGTCATACTCTTGGCGAGAGAGTGGTGTGCCAAGACGTACAGGAAGTGAGTGTTACCGAATCTCACTATCTGTCCGTCAACATGGTAACGAATAGTACTAGAAGGGCTCTCCTTTTGAAATGCACAAAGCACCTGCTCACCTGCATCAGTTTGCATCCAAACCAGATTATGGAAGCGTTCGAATAGATGCCGTGGTATTGGTTGAGTTTTAGTTTCAGCTCTTATACCTTGGAAAAAGATCAAGCGACCCACATTCTCCTCCTTAAGCTCACTGATATTCACTACTGAAATGGGAGAACAAACACTGACACGCTTATTCAACAAACTACCCTGTTCAGATGGGGGGTGATGATGAACTGAACTTTTGTATTCGTCACGACCAAAAATGTCTACCAGTGATAACGTTGATCCGAAGGTTCGCTCCACGGCTATCAGACTCTCAGCGCTAGGGAATAAATTCCTTTCAAACGCCTCGCGCAGGGTGTGGCACTGCCTCAGTTGATGCAACTTGTGTATGCATTCGAGACAGTCCCGCGAAAGAGTGTGGCGTAGCAAGTAACACGGCCTAGCTGCCAGTGATAGAAGAGATTCACTAAGCCGAATGCGATGAATACGTCCTCCGCATCCGCCGCCAGCCTCATCCACGTCCGTGTCAGCAGCCGCAAAGGTGGGCCCCTTCGCGGTCGATGGGGTTGTGAGCTGCGAGTAACCCTCGGTATCAGGATGTTCACTGACATGCCCCCCTGGGGGTGTAACAAGCGGTGGGTAGTGGTGATAGTACCGCATCGGGACAAAGAGTTCCCTGTTCATCCAGAACCTAACGTCACCACTGTCGCCCGACACCTCATAAAGGGCACGCGTGATTCGGTGAAGCTCCCCCACGGGGCCCTCTAAACACACAAAGTGAAACTCCCCATCAGCTACCTCAAAGCCACTAATGCCTGGCGGCGTCACCACCTTGAAGGGCTGCTCAAAGATTGTGGGTTTACTTAACGATGACGTCACCTGGGCGAGGGTTGCTTCCGTCTTGTCACCTGGTGTCTTGCGTTTTCTCTGATCACCTGGCAGAGAAGCTTTTGAAACGCGCGTGGCTTCACTTTTTGTGTCGTCCCCATCGGCCGACGTCTCGGTAAGCAAAGGCGGCAGCTGGTGTAATGTTACATTGCCCTGCTGTCCGGCCCTCTTAGAGCTGAGCAACTCCCGGACCATGGTATCCAAAAAAGCTGAGATACATGGGGCAGCATAGGGCACCATGATCATACTGCGTGATAAGAACTGCGCTGCTGCTGACTCGCCGTACTCATCTACATGTTGCAAGGTAGGCAACGGGATAAAAAAGTTGAGCTTCAACCTCACAGCACATGCTTTCGTCAGACAGTTTTCCGCGTGAAAAGCAAAGCTGGTGCGCGAGGGCAACAATTGGACATCGGTGTCAAAAAAGGTCTGCCGATCCGTCGCGAGCGCTCGCACGCTGAGCGCGCCCACATCAACTAAGTGCTCCATCCCCATCTCCGTAGCGGAGCCCGCACGCCCCGCAGCTGATGTGGGCGCCTCGTTAGCGAGGCTGAGGGACACCTCCACCGATGATAGCATGGCGGCCTGGTAAACCTCCAGAGGCGTCTGGTCCCCCAGCAGCAGCACCCCTCGCAGCACATCGCCGCACTCCGACGGGCAGGTAGCGCTCTGGTACGGGGACACAAGGGTGTGGCCAGCGAATCCCACGGAAACTCTAAAGCGCTTCGGTTGTTTTTCCTGCAGCAAGAGCTGATCTATTTGTTGGATACCAGTCACCCTAACGGAAACGGGACGACACCTGTGCAACAGAACGTCAGGAATAAGACAGTCGTCGCGTACGTGCACCTCTATCCAGCAGCGTTTCAAGAACTCAAGTTTGGATACTTCAACAGGGTAAGTTTGCGATCGAGCCCGCATAAGATCTTGAAGAAAAAAAGGAATACTAAAAATCTTTTCAACCTTAGCACTCTCAGACGCTAATAAAGCAGCTTTCTGAATACTGTTCTCGAGATTTCCTTTTGCTAAACTTGCTAAGGGTCTACCCATCCTTTTCTCGATATCCAAGTGCTTCCTAGAATCAAGGGCATTTGTAAAACCGCGCTCTTCCTTTTGAATTGCAGCGTTCTTTTGCGTATTGTCTAGGTCCGATGAAGAGGACGAAGAAATGTATACTGAACGTAATTCAACAAAAGGTATCATGTCACTTCGAAAAAGTTCACGCATAGCTTCAAAATCCAGAACAATGCGCTTTTCCATGAGCCCTTTGGATACGTGCGTACCATTTTCGCGAATGCATTTAGTAAAGCATTCGTTAAGATGCACTTCGGCAGATTCATGGTGCAGCCGCACACTTGCTAATAGGTTTAATTCATCACGCCACTTGGCCACATCCGTTAACTCAGCATGGAAGACAACCGTTATAATGCGCTCCATTTCACCTAGAATCACGGCTTCAGTGGCTGGAATCCGTGATTTCGCTTGCTGGCTCTTATTTTTCGTCATTTTGCTGGCATTTATCATGGGATATTTGACCCTTAAGTAGGAAAGGAAGGGCAGAAAAAAAATAATCGAGCACTCGTTCAAAAAGATTCAAAAGAATAAATTACCCCCATTTGCATTCAGAAGTTGCTCATTGGGAAGGAAGCAGAAAGTACATTAAGCAGATAGACCGATTTAGAGCCAAGATTCCAAAACCCTTGGCACCTGTATCACGAGTCACATTATCGTCAAACCATGAAGATGTGAAAATTTTCAAGCATTCTAAGTCTCGTTAGTATCCGTCTCAAGTGAATATCGCATAGTATAAAAGGTTTCCCCCAGTCTCCGCTCCTTAGCATGCCAATAGTCAGAATATAACTTCCCTGTTTCAACACAGAATTTAGCTCCCAAGCACGGTTCCAGCACGTCTCTGTTTAGGCGTTCAATGGTATGATCACCTGGCTCAATAACAAACCTATTCTTGCTAGCGCGAATAAAGAGCAGAATGGCAAGCGAAGCAACTGCGATGGTTGGAGAAGCGAAATCCCTTACCTGATCAAGGGCTCCACTCGGAATAAACGTTAGAAGGGGGCATAAAGCGGAAAACCATACGAGAAGTAACAATTCCAGAAAAAAAATCATCGAAAAAATAGCTATGAAGAATTGCAAAAAATGATAGGAGCGGTCTTGTCGAATAAGAATGTACTGAAGCGAAAGCTCGAACGCTGCAACCCCGGCCATGTCCCGATCCTTGACAAGGTGCTGAATGTCAAACATGAATCAGAAGTTCTCCTTTTCCTGTTATAAGGTGAATATATAGACAAAAAAAATGCATCTCTAAAAAAAAAATGAGAAGTAATAAAGGAAAAAAAGATATCAGAAATCATACGAAGCAATATGGATAAAAATATGCAGTAATGCATAGATTGGTGTTGAGATTCAGAAAAGAAAAGAAATTGAGTATTCAACCGCTAGTTTACATATTTACAGTGAATAATATATAGAGCTACTTCCTGGAAACGTATCACTTTGCCTTTGTGGAGGCCTTTTCAAGAAGGGCCTTCTTCTTAATAATTTCGGCCTCCTGATAACGAAGCTTCTCAGTTAGCTCCTCCATGATCGCTCTTATATCCGTCTCCGCTGCCTGCAAATCATCAGCCTCTTTAGTCATACGTTCATCTTCCATCCGCTCCAGTTCCTCACGCTTCGCTATACTTTCGTGCATTTTGGCAGACAACATTGCCCGCATAGCAATAGACTTCTCTATATTCTGCTCTAATTCCTTCTGCGCCTTTAGCTCCAATTCACGACGACGCTGCACCTCTTCCTTGACAAACAGCTTCTTAAGCCCACGCCCCAGATAGTCAGATGGCTTCTTACAAGACACGTTCTCGTGCTGGGGGTTGCATCCAGCCAAAAGTAGGGTCGCCACGAGCTCTTCCCACTCTTGAGAATCCGGGCGTTGATGAATCGTCGCAATGTGGAGAGGGTTGCATCCGTCTGCATTAATGACATTCGGGTTGGCACCAACGCGCAAGAGCATGTTCAAGATAGCAAGGTCGCATCGAACAACGCAAAAGTGGATGCAGGAGTTGCCCTTGATGTCCTGCTTATTGCAATTAGCCTTCTGAGAAAGCAGGTACTCGGCCACCTCCTTTTGGCCCATCTTGACTGCCACAAGTAGAGGCGTGAGGCCCATGCAATCGACCTCATCCACCTTCGCGCCGTGCTCGACTAACCAGCGAGATACCTGTACATCACCACCGAAGGCACACTTATGTAGTGCGGAGCTCTTGTTTTTGTCCAATTCATTAACTTTTGCAACAGGATTCTCACTGTGTTGTAAGAGGATTTCCATGCACTCGACACTTCCGCACGACGCAGCAGTGTGAAATGGGGTCGATAACGTGCTAGATTGAAGTGAATCATCTGCGCCATGATCTAATAGTATCTTACAACATTCAACGTAGTTATGAGTGACAGTTTCGTGGAGAGGGGTGCGACCCTGTAAATTGACTGCATTGACATTCGCTTTGAGAGTCTCAAGAACGTACTTAAGCATCGTAGGATCCTTACCAATGGCTAGATGAGCTATAGAGTTGCCACTCTCATCGACACATTTCGATACATTTTCCGGGATAGACAAAAAGCTATTTGTCAAGGGTTTAATAGTATCGATAGACCCACTGACAACTGCTTCGCGAACTGCGTCTAAGAGTGCTTTCGGGCCCTGGGGACCACCGACAACTCTTTGGCCATAGCCCTTATGCCCGCTTGACTTCGCCATCTATACGCATATATAGATATATATATGTGTGTGTGTATGTATGTAGTACTAAGAAGGAGTGAAAAAATCACATTTTCGAGCTAAAAAAAATTCATGCAATTTTTGACTAAGCCACGAGGAGTAAATTCAACTTTCCGAACTTCAATTATCACATTCAGCAACACAAATGGCAGAAACTTGTATCTATTAACCATTTAACAAAACCATTATTGTAAACCTCAAATTCCATCCCTCTCAAGAGGGAGAATCACCACGAGGTTCGGAACACTTTAGATGATGACAAGAAAATAATTAAAAAACATACCTCACCTCATTCAGAGTAACCGTGTAAGTCAAGCCATTCTTTCGTCACTATCGTGACACCCAGCATGCATGCTTGCGCCTCTTTTCTTTCTGTCCGGACTACCTTCTGCAAGGCCGTGTAGGTCACATACTCGGGAGCTGGATAGGTGCGCGACACACTGCTAGTGGGATTAATATACACAATAGCGCGTGTGCTAGTTACTAAGTATGGCGTGGAACTTGTCTTTCTATCGTTGTATTCGACATTCATCGAGCGGCATTCGTGCACAGTTGCTCGACGAGCCACTTGGTCCAGAAGACCTGGAATAAAGACCCGCCGGAGAGCGATTTCGTCTTCCTTCGTAATTTGTACACGCTCGGTAGAATATTCGGCTACGTTCTCTGAATACCACGTCTCATTCGTGTCCAAAGAATCCACAAGGTCATCCCCGGTAACACCGTTCTCCTCGGTAAGATTACAAAGTTGACGAAAAAGCATTTTTGATTCATGCATACTTTTCTGAACAAGGCAGTAGGTGTGGCAGTTTCTCGGGTTCTGCAGATACACATGGAAAGCGTTCAGATAAGTAATAAGGTCGCTCCCGTGATTAAGTAGGCTACGAATTCTTTCACGCCGTGGATCAGCTTCATCTTTTTTACTTGCTTTGATTTGGTTTCCCTCACCAGTAAAAATATGCGTCGTCGTTGCGCACACCGCCACAATCGATAACACCATCTCTAAAAGTTTCTTGGGAAATTGCATAGTCTGGGCTTCTACAACAGCGCGAGCGAAACGTGGCGGAATGGGATAAGCGATCAACCTCCTTCCGAGGGGTGTAATACGGTATCCATTAGACGCATCCAGCGCCTCAAGGAGTGCCAGGTGGCTTAAAGCACCTTTGAGGTCATCCAAGCGAGGTGGTGAAGGAAATGCAAAGGCACCGACGTGATCGATTCCAATATGCTTCATCAGAAGAACCACAGAGTCAAGCGGTGTTCGCAGGATCTCCGGGGTACTGTACTTTGCCATCAAATTGGTGTAAACAGCGGTGCTATACAAACGGTAGCAGTGACCAGGACCTACACGGCCGGCCCGACCACTTCGCTGCTCCGCCGACGCTTGGCTTACCCATTCAATACGAAAGCAACTCGCCTTGGTCTCCTCGTCAATTACCTTGCTTTTGGAGCGGCCGGCATCAACAACGTACTTGATATTAGGTATTGTAATAGATGTCTCAGCAACATTCGTAGCAACAACACACAGGCGCCGACCCGGAGGAGGTGCTTTGAAAACCTCATGTTGCCTTTTCATATCCAAAAGAGCGTATAATGGAAGCACATGCAATGTGTTGAATTCTCCATTAGCTTCATCTTCCTTCTCAGATTCTAAGTTTACCATCGTGTCTGCCTCTCGCGGTCGCTTAAATTTATTTTTTCCTATCATTGACTCACGAATCTCATCAGGAAGGGCATCATCAGCCGACTCATCTCCATCAAGCGCATATTCATCGTTGCATAAGCCGTACTCATCTTGGACTTTCTCGTCTGCTGCATTATTACCAATGTCAGAGCCCTCCACGGACATACTTGAGGATGCGTTATCATCCTCAAGCAGTTTCCTACTACCATCTGAAGAGCCTCTGAGAAGTGCATGTTTATTGTATGTGTGTTCATTATACTCAATCTTCGTTTTCGAATAGTGCTCACGAAGACGGGCACACAAATCTTCTATTTCATGTTGTGTACAGAGAAACACAAGCACCCCTCCAGGTGGTAATTTCTTATGGATTTGGCAAACTTTCTCGAAGGACTGTTGCACATAATCCTTTAAGTTCGTCTTCCTTGCAAAATGGTTAGTTACTGGGAAGCGCCGCGCCTCCACGTTGATAAGTGGCGGAGTAATACGAAACAACACCCTATTATCACGGAAATCCTGCACACGCATGGTAGCTGACATAATGACTAGCCTCAGAGGCTTGATCTTGGTTTTGCGAGCATCCCCACCGCTCGCGTCTAGCTCCTCACGGAACAAGTCGTTTCGGAGAGGAACAATACGCGAAAGCAGCCCAACAAGAATATCACACGAAATACTGCGCTCGTGCGCCTCATCGACTACGATGGCACTATATTTAGTAAGTAAAAAGTCTGATTGAATCTCTTTTAGTATAATACCCTCCGTCGCAAACTTCAGTTTGCATGTGTCAGATAGGTTGTTATCGTATCGAACGTGATAGCAAACCTCTTTTCCAAATGGCTGATTCAGTTCTTCTGCGACACGCCGTGCCATGGACACAGCCGCCACGCGACGGGGCTCTGTAACTAAAATGCATCCCTCACGACCAAAGGAACTACTTTCCGCATGACCATATCCAGCCTCCCATAAAAATTGGGGGATTTGAGTGGTTTTGCCGCTGCCGGTTTCGCCACAGACAAGCACACATGTCCTTGAAGCGCTGTTGATAGCTTCAACAATGGGTTGTTCTTCGCGGAGTACTGGTAACCCTTCTCGTTGCTCCTCAATACTTTTGCTACGAAACACAGGGATGTGCACATTCGCAAGGGCTTGCTTGAAGGATTTCTCCTGAACTTTCTCAAGCAGTCGCTGTATCTGCTTCAATTTGGCATTATCCTCTTTTTGCTTCTCCACGACCTCAGTAAAATATTTCTGCTGTGCTTCAATAGATAAAGCGACCCGCTCCTTTTCCTTCGTCTCTCTTTCATTGCGAGCCTTTAAATGCTCAATATTAAGCTGCTTCTTCCGCTTTTCCTTTTCTTCCTTCTCATTTTGAAGCTCTGTCAAAATAAAATTTTTATGCTTCTCAACATCAGCTCGTGAAGAAGATACGCATGACGTGGCTTCCTTTACCAGCAGCTTCTTTTGTCTTTTGCTCTCAAGCTTTTCCGCATGCTGTTGTTCCCTGGACTTCACTAAAATGTTTGGCAATGGTGTGGTTAGTCCCAAATCATTGAATGAAATATTTTTCTTTGGTCGCATTCTATACGATTGCGAAAGGGAAAGAAATAAAAAGTGTAAGAACAGTATCGATAGAAATGAATTCCAAACGATAACGTTAAAAGTAATGAATGGAGATTTTGCTAAAACGAATAAAAATTTCATATTGAAGCCGATAAAATGTTCAGATATTTCCGTTCATCAGGATTACAGAGAGTTAGTGATACGTTTATGCTGAAGAAATTCTACATTTTTCCTGTAAAATTAAAGCCTTCCATTTATTAAAGATTAAAAGTAGGAACCTCTTTTACTTCTTTGCGGACTCTTTTTGAGACGCTTTCTTCGCAGCCTTAGCTGCCCTCTTAGCCGCTAACTCTTCAGCTGCAGAAGCCTTTTTAGGAAGAGTCTTCAGGTACTGTGCTTTGGCCGACAGATGGTTAACCTTGTCACGACCCTCCGGTATGTTGATTAAAATTTTTGGATTTGTGTCGCTATTGTCAACAATGTAGTAGCCACGGCGCTCTAGTTGAATGATGTCTCCCTTCTTGATGGATGAAAGTGACTCCTCTCCAAGGACATTTTGGGAGAAAATTGAGACGGGTGCAATGAGATCTTCAAACTTTTCCTCGGGATCAGGTTTTTTCTTCGTAAGTAAGTGATCATACTCCCTGAGAGTGAGAATAACCGAGTTGGGATTTTCAGGGACCCATGTTAGCTTATGCTTCGTTTTCTTTACATCACCCGATGGATTAAGCAAAATAGTAGCCTCTGTCGCCAAACCATTGTCAGACGACTTTTTAATGTTATTCACAAATGCATTACCCCAATCCATGAGAGTAATTTCCTCACCGTCCTTTATAAGAGCGACATCCTCTGCGTCAAGGAAAATCACGTCCGACTTATAAAAAGTTTTTTCACCAAGGTCTGGGTTTTTCTTGTGGAGAAGCTTCTTGCCCACCTCCATATGTTTTTGACCTTCAACAGTGCAGCGGACCTTCAAATCGTTGGCAACGACCGTGTAGCGAGGACTGATAGGATCAATAATCTGAGTGTTGTAGAACCAAATCTTCGACCACTCCATGAAGTTAACGGTCTTGGACATCCCTTGGTCGGATACAAAGCGGCGGAGAGCTTCAACCTTCATCCCACGCCTTAATAAAGCACGAAGTGTTGGGAAGCGAGGATCATCCCAACCATCAACTACACCAGTGTTTACCAACTGGGTTAATTTACGCTTAGACATCACCGTATACTCCATGTTCAGACGCGAAAAGTCCTCAACTATGGGTTTGCGTAGGTTCATAGCATCACAGAACCAGTAGTACTGCGCATTTCGATCATGATATTCATTTGTCCGAAGGGCATGAGTCACGTTCTCGATGGAATCAATAATTGGGCAGCAGAAATCGTAGGTAGGATAAACCTTGTACTTGGAGCCCTGGCGCACATGAGGCGTTAAATTCACGCGGAACATGACTGGGTCACGCATAGCCTTATTAGGATCGGTGACCGATATTTTTGCCCTCAAGCACGTCGTAAGTCCTTCCTCAGTGGCAAGACACATTTCATTCCAAAGCCTCAGATTTTCTTCAACAGAATTATCCCGACAAGGAGTGGCGATTCCGTCGAATCGGCATTTTTGCAATTCTTCGCGTGGTGTTTTATCGCAATAAGCCAACCCTCGTTTAATAAGATCCACAGCTTTTTCACACATCAAATCCATGTAATCAGAAGAGTAAGTTGGACCACTATCATAAGAAACACCCAGTGATATCAAATCTTGTTTAATAGCCTCTTCATAGTCTTCATTTTCCTTATCAGGGTTGGTATCATCAAAGCGGAAAATCATTTTTCCCTTATACTTGTCTGCAAGCATGCGGTTAATAAGAGCAGCTTTTGCATGGCCAATGTGCAAAAAACCACTAGCTTCGGGCGGGAAACGAGTCACAACTTTTCCCTCTTCAGCATCAGTTAGCATAAGCTTATCCTTCTCATCAGATGACATTTTTGTAGCAGTGAAGTATGTTTTAGTTAATGTAAGCGCTTTTAAGTGAATTAAATCAGTCATTCTTTTTGAGGAAAAATATAGCATGTCTTAGACATAAAAGAAAAAAGTGATCGGAATAAAGAACGTAGTAAATCAGTAAAAGTTTGACATGTCATCTCACTTCCTTTTAAATCATATAATGGGTATGTGTACTTATCCCAAAGAGAAAAATAACGGAATCGTCAGTTAGATGTCAAATGGAGTTAATATTACTAATAAGAGGCACGATAATGCAGATAAGCACTAGATATCATTTACAAAATGTCTATCATGTAAGAAAAGAGAACTAACAAAACAAAAACAAATGGCACATATCATCCTTTTTCACAATAATTGAAAATTATTCAATCTAAAAGATACTTTTCAATCATAAATTTTACGAAACCAAAATAAGAAACTATGCATTTCAAAGTTATAAAAAAAATGTGAAAAAATGTAAGCGACCATTAAATCAAGAGTTTCCTTGCCGCAAATTTAAAAATATGAAAATATAAAATTTGTTAATAATAATTAAAAAAAGATTAGATCAAATAATAAAGATAAGTCCTTGAATATAGAATGAAATACATGTGGAGAATAATAATAGGTAGGATTTGGATAGGAAGGTCCATATAGTACCATGACTCGTCTCTAGTAAAAGTGAAAAGCATCATTGACTCAAAGTGAAGGTTTCATTTTTATTACTCAAAGCTTAGGCTGGAATAAAACGGAAAGATGCAGGCAAACCTTCGTCTTAGATCTTATAATAAAATTCCAAAATGAATAAATGCGTTGAGTGAAAAAAAAATTGTCAAAGTGGATATTGAAAAATTTGCGATGAGAAGCTCTCATGAATCAATTATTATCGGCCTTCACTAAAACTTCATTCAAAAGATAAAACGAAATAACAACTCTATTTGAAATATACTTTCGTTGTGATGAACAAACTTGTGATTTATCACTCATGTATAAACAAAATGCGGATGGATACTCGTTTGATGCATGAATTTTAGTAAGATCTACAAGAATTGAAGATAAAAACTCTCGTTAAGTCGCAAGATCAAGTAATACACAGTTAAACTCAGAATATATTAGAACTATTTATGGTAACTTCAGTCATGATAACACAAGAAGGAAAAAACTTGTAGACTTTCCGGTCACTATTAGCATGTGTGGTAATCCTATCTACAGCAGAGGTCTTAAAGGTTTCAAAGACAGACCAGGGATCAAAAACAAAAATATAATACGTTCTCTTTCAATTAATTTATGGAGTGTGTAGGGGAGAGGAGGATATATTAACTAGTCCTTTCAACAAAAGATCGATTCAGCAATAATGCTTCTTCAAAAAAAAGAAATTTTCGAATTAACTATTACCAAAATCAAATAAAAAATAAATAATTGTCCTGTTTGAAAAAGACTAATAATAATAATAAAGCAAGCAATATATTAAAAGCTATATCGCTTCGAATTACAATCGAATATTTTTAACAGTTTCACTAAAAGAGTAAAAAAGACTAAGAATATTTCACAAATACAGCTAGACGTAAATACAAAGAAAGAGAAAAATTAAGCAGGAGTTGAAAAATAAACCTTTTAGTTACTCCTACTATAAAATGCCATAAGGAGCACTCTGAGTCTGTGAGTGACAAGAAAGCCTCCAATATTTCTTTACATAATTACCATTAAGAATATTGGGCTCATATGCAACTCATACCTGCTAAGATTTACACCAACAAAGTAGAAACCCAAAAAAAAGTTACCCCTCAAAACCCACCTCCATACAGAAGATGGCAAGGTGTGGTGAATAGATAAAATAAATAACACTTTTTATCCTGACACCAGTGTACAATAACATAATCATAGATGAACACAATAATGGTTCTGGTATTTTTCTGATTCTTTAACTACCACACGCCCCCCAACAGCTTGCGAAAATAAAAATAGAAATAGAAATAAATAGGAGTTCACCTCGGCGCATGTTAACCGCTCTACCGCAGACTGAAACCGTCGAAAATATACATCATAGAAATATCACAGTTGTATCAATCATGTTCCAAGTGAAAATTCTCTTGGCAAAGAAGCGTGCGCGGGGTGCTTTTAGTGGGCAGTCTAATCCCCAGCGCCTACCCCGGGCACAAAAAGAGCAGTCAAAGGACCTGGCAGGAGAGTCGGCACGCCGGAGGGACACAAAATAGAACAAATAAAATAGGCACAAAGAGCTTATGAGATACACCTGAAAACCATTAACACTGCTTATTTAAACGGCCCCCCCATCCCTATTTCTAGCCGCACCCCAAACGAACCAAGCTCCTGCCTAGGCCGGGCGCCCACACGCACCCATTTAGGGCCACAGAGCGCAGGAGACTGCGACACCGTGGAAAGGCGAAGGCCGGCGGCCCTATACCAATGCTTGGAATTTCCAAACACCTAAAACATACGGGGGCGTGAAAAATTAATCATCCAATGGGAGTATTCAGATTATATGTTTCCCACGCCGTTTGCGAGGACGCTTGAAATTGAGGTTCTTTATTTTCGCATCCATGCAGGGCTCTTCCGAAAATACAAGTTAAAGAATGTCTGAAAAATAGAATTCAATACATGAAGCTATTCATGTGCATCATTTAAAGTCGCATATTAAGAAAAAAAAAATTAAAAGTTGGAACCAATTGATCTTCACCACGGATTGGGGGGGAACGCCATAGCATCGCAGCGGGGCTTAAAAAAAAAAGAAAAACCGCATCAGCTCAGCGACAAATGACCGCAACCACGCCGCAGACAGCAGAAAAAAAATGTTTTACCATTTTATAAATAAAATTTAGCGTTTGTCAAAAGAACAATTCACCAGGCGGGCCGCCACCACTGGGAAATCCTATGCCGGGCCAAAAATTGTTCACTTTTGCTATTTTAGTGAATTCAAATTATCATAACCCCTTCTGAACTATATTTTATTGAGAAGCATTTAGGGCGAATCAAGAAAAGCCCGCGTCATAGACATCGGCCGCATGACACTAATATCTGCACCAAAATAATATTGATTTCGAGGCAAAAACAACATTCAAGGTCACTGCGTGTGCAAATAAAAATGGAAATAATATTTTAATCACAACGCAACAGTAATTATTTGCGGCTTGCGGCGGGTCCATGTCGGTAAATTTTTGCCCTCAAGAAATATTAAGGCACCATCGCCAACGACCCATTGTTACACCACCCCGTGGCATAACGCAGACGCATTGTCGTATTTTAGGATGGAAAGCATTTATAAACTCATAAATTTCGTGATAAATTGCTTACCAATAGGTGGCTGGCATTCGGACATCCCGAATGATGTAGTATTCCTGAATTCGACGCCGCCCCAACTATTGTTTTTCTAAATATTAAGCTAGGATAAACAATGGGAGCGGCTGATCTCCTTTTTGATTCCTTTATATTATTTTAGCGCAATCATTAGTATAATAACTATTTTTTTTATAGCAAAATTTTTTTTTTTCTAAAATTTGATGAAATAAAGCAACACATATATCTGCGATATTTTCTGTGAATATACTTAAATCCATATATGGATATTAACTAAAATAAGATAAAATTCGTATTTTATACTTGAAGCATTTATTTACCACATGTGTTGCTCCAAAAATGTCCATTATCGATTTTGATCAAACAGCTTTATCACTAAATATCTGATAAATTATTTTTTGCGGCATTTTAATATAAGGATACGGCCGGTATTTGAAAATGCGCTTTTTTGCGTGTGCTTAATTTATAATAGCAATCCTTTCGCAACGAATTATATCACTAAATTCGTAATTTTAAATACACGCACGCTTATGCTATTTTGTATTTTCCAACTATTTGCACGTTCTTTCCCCTTCTTTCTTCTCGGCCTCGGGCATCGCCTATGCCAAAATTATAATTTACAACAATTTATAGTACTCCGTCTTAAAATGGATTGTATAAGAAATGATCTTCGCCACACCCGGTTTTGATTATGGATACTGCGTTTCACCGCAAAAATAGATCACATATGGGTTGAAAAGAGTTCTTATGCAACGGAAAGATCTGTAAAGATGGGTTTCTGATATAGTGCCATGGATTTATTAGTGCAAAGTTCTGACCAAGCTTGGTGAATCGCCAAGCACCTGGGCGTATATATTTGATTCTTCCTTTAAATAAAATCAACATATGGGGCGCGCCAACGCATATTTCTGATGGTAAATTTCAGCCGAATTTTTGTGTAGAATAGACATGGATTTCAAATTATTTACTGTTTGGCCAAGCTATCTGTCAATGTTTTTAAACAGCGGCGCGGGATTCAGCATTACAATGATATTAACGTAATGTTTGCCGGTTCAAAGTTCTTTCTTCTAGGTTTCCTCCCACCCCGGCCCATATCAAAAGAGCATTTGCAACGTTTTTGTGGATCTCTCTAAATCCGCATTCACATTTCCAGTGTGGTGAAAATCATCTGTTTAGAAGAGAAAACAAGTCAAGAATATTAAGAAGCATCAGAATCTAGACACATCAATGGCTTTGGGGGTGGGGGAAAAGCGTGATACGCCCGCGCTGTTTGACAAATTTCGCCGCGCCTTCTAGTTTCTGATATCTCGTGTTTTTTCATTCTTCCCCTCTCCCTCAAACGCATTACTGAGACAGACGAAGCCCGATCACACAAAGCGAGCTACATTTATTCAACTATCCTCATCCAGAACGTGGGGTTTGCGGTCCCCTCTATCCCCCTCCCGCCGTTTTTGCTTTCCACCTGCGCGGCGCTGGTTGGGGGTTAAATAGTGTGTGCCCGTGTGCTTCATAGAACGAAACCGCTGGAACTACCAAAAAAAATAGTACTGCGTCATTCATTACATTTTTGCTGATCTGGTACTTTTTAGAGCAAAAAATCAGATCTCCGCGTTTTTGCTCACCTATAAAAACCATAAAAAATCATAAGGATATAGAAAACAGGGCCGTGGCTGGAATTTTTTTGTGTTTCAGTCAAAGAGGAGCGGATACAAAATAATTTTATTATCGTATAGGGCTCGAAGGCTGCTACTCAGCATTGAGGAATTCTTTCTTCTTATACTTTTTTTTTTGTGTGGGGGGCAAATTGTTTAAGAAATGGCTAAAAATATTAGGTTGATACGGCGTTTTTTGTATTCCTTCCTATATTCATCTTCTTTTTGTTCTTCGCTGTTTTTAGTTGTCTTGGCGCATATTCCGCCAAGTCTATTTTGTATTCACTGAAATCCTATAATAATAACAATAATTATTATAATATATGGACGAAGATATTCTATTTATTTTGAGTTTTTTAACCCTTAAATATTTCAACTTTTAAAAATATTTTTTGATTCATTTTTTTCTCAAGGATGTAGAATAGGATACGTCGATAAATATTTATATATAACCTATTATGCTTCGCCGTACATGTAGATCTTTGATGAAATATGCGAACCTTGAGCTAACCACTCGAGGTGAGTTTCCTCACGGTATGAAGGAACCTGGATTCGTGAAAAAATTAGATAAAAATATCCCCTGGTATTTTTCAACATACCGTTCGATGTATCACTGGCCTGTTGCTGGTGACAACTGGAGTGACCTTGATGAAGGTAATAAACATCATGATTTGCATATGTTTTACACACTTGCGTGGTGGAAGCTCGGTGAAGGTATATTTGATGCTGACGATGATGATTAATGAACTTAAATATAAATTTAGGTATTAAACACGTTCAATGTGTTTGAAAAAAAGTAATTTAGTGTTCGCTAAATTTGTGTTTACATTAACTCTTTTTTTTTAAATTTTAATCATTTATGAATACTTTTTATACATTTGCTTGGCTGTTTCTGACATTTTTTTTTATTTGCAAGAGTTAGAAGTGTATAAAAATGCTTAGACGTTCTATAGGGCGGTTATATAGGTACCAGGAATTTGAAATGCACCATGAGGCCAAGTACCCCTTTAATTATGCTAGAGAGGCCCCTAATACGTCCGTATTTCCCCAGTTTCAACTTAACTTTTGGATGTTTTGGGGGTTTGGTCGACAAGAGCTATGGATAGACAGGGATTCGCGACGCTATGAAACATTTTGGGAAATGGCTCGCCGTTTTCTCATGTGGTTTTTCCCCTGCTATTTTATTTTTCCATTTGGTATTCCTAAATGGATAGCCTCCAACGTCTATGGTGAATATGGCGAGAAACCATTTTTAGATCATACTATGCACTTACCTATGGACAATAATTATATTGAATGGGGTGGTAGCACTCTTGATGCCGAGTGGCTTCGTCATATTCACTCGAAGGAGTCGTTCTGAAGACACTACAATATATTTATTTTTAGCATAGAACCTTTTTATTTAGCTTAAAGTAGTATTTAGGAGCATGCATTGACATTTAGCAACATTTTTTTTGCTTTTATGATTCCTAGGAAAAATAATGTATTTTAGTATAGGGGTTTCCCTGCATTTTTCCTATTTTTTTTTCCCACTATTATTGTCATGTCAGTATACTTTTTTTCTTCATACAAATAATTTAAAAAATACCTCATTTTTTCCTTATATATATTTATATCTATATATACCTCAATTGCAAAATACATAGGTCAACATAAGTAAAAAATTATATTATGTAGTACGTAGATTATAATGAGAAACTTATCAGTTGCACGTCTTTTGTGTCGAAATGAAGCACGATTTCATGCAACATATGGAATAGCTCCGCTCACACATAGGCAAATGCAAGAGCGATTTGGAAATAATAGCAAACAATTGAGAGATCAATTGACACTTCTGAAATTAACAGAGCAGCAAATGTCGAAATGGCGACTTAATAAGTGGAATTTTCGTGTGCCATTAATAATTGATGGGGATAAAAAAGACAAAATAATGTTGCAGCTCGATGTACTGAAAAGTTGTTGTATCGAGCAGATGAAGCAGAACAATGCAGTTGAAGAAGATATCCAATTCGTCTCTTCTGTAACAGGAATATCTCCAAACTTAGTTCTACAAAAGAACCGTGCTTGGTTGCAAGAAGAGGCTGCGAAATTGCGTTGGATGGGCGAAATAAACAAGAGCAAAGATCTTCGTGATGCTTTTTTGCGGCTTGAGGTGTATGGTTCCCCTGACTATCGACTTTTGGAGCGACTTTGTTGTGTCTATGGGCTTGGGATGCTTGGAACCTTTGAAGAAGCATTCTCAAATCTCATTACAGAAAAAAACGGCACAGGTGAATTATATGTAGACGAGGGCAATCCATTTACAGAATTGCTGCAATATATTATGACTCGGTTTCCTCATTTTGACGTAATTTATGATTTCCTTGGATTTAATCCAACTAATGGTTACCGTGCTTCATTAAGTCGATTTTTGTCTGATTTATTACAGGAAAAATACCTTAATGAGCAAAATATGGCATCGGGAAGAATTCTTTTCCACAATCCCAATAGGAAAGAAATTTTATTCGATTTTGGTGATAGTAAAAATACAATTGGCTTTAATGATTCAATGTTCGGGCTCCCCGATTTTCTTTACATAAAAAACATGGATTTTTTCCTGATTATCATAGCTTCAAATAATCACTGGTTACGAAATCGGCAAGTTCCACACAAAAAACAACTCGAAGGAATCGCGCGGAGAGGAAGCTTTGTTTTTGGAATTCCAATGGACAAGGTACGAATTAAAAACATTTTACTTCCGCCAGATTATTTAGATAATGCTTCTTTATTGCGCTTGATTAATGCTGTTGTAGAGCTTCCGATGGAAAAACAAAAAAAACTAATTCCATGGCTTTCATTGTATGATAAGAAACTCGATCCTAACGACGTTGATTATTCCGAATTGTCCACGACTGTTAATGAAGAGGAATGGCTTACTTTGTAGGCTTATTTTTTTTTTGATTACTGATTGCTCTAGAATTTTATTCTCTCCAAATATTTATTTATGCAAAAAAAAAAAATTAATTCGTTGTGGAATTATTTGCATTAAATTTGCGATTATTCTGATTTCTTTCCCTTTCTACCTTTCCAATTTAGTATTTCTTTTTTTTTAATTTACCGAATACACAGAATGGATGGATTTTTACACTCACCTTGTATTATGAAGAATTAGCTCAGGACAGCTAAATAGGCCCAGTTGATTTCACTTTGCCTGGAAGTAAATCAGATGAATTTATATCTAAGTTAAAGCTTTCATAGTATTTAAAACGATTGAGTTTCTGGTTTTCACATTCCACCTAGAAACGAGACAAGAGGTCATTTTCCCTCAGATTTTTTTGATCTTTTATACTGATGAATCAGATAGAAAATAATCCCTTTCATCTTAATGGACAGATATCGTTCCCAAATCTGTACAGGCGTGACAGTTGCTATGCACGTGACTTCTGGAGAATCACAGAAAATCATCTTGGCTTGTTGTACTTCATAAGCACCAGAGTTACATAATTAATCACTGATGGTACGAAAAAATTTAGGTGCATGTGACGTGTATTTTATCATGATTCAAAGCACGATTGGTTCACATTAGTTATTAAATTATCCACAATCACTCAAGCGCTGTGTGTTTAATATTCTCTAAATTATTTTAGTATTAGAAAGGTTGTGAACGGATTTGAATGAATGATTCTTGATATCTCCGGACAGAGCAATGGACTTGTTATTATCCCAAATGCTATCACCCGTGCATTTGAGCATTAGCTGGCGTGAGTTTTATTGTTTAATATTTTTCTAAATGCTCATTAAAATAAAATAATTAGAAGCGCAATTAGAGTGTCTAGTTATCTAAAGCACTTTGAGTGATGCCTTGGGATTGCTGTCTCCGACAGCTTACTCTAATACTATGACTTTATCGCCTAGCATTACTCTTGAGCGATTTTTTGTTGTGGATTGTCCCCAAGATGAAATGTTTACATCAATAGTGCAGTTACATGAGACTTGAGGATTTTTAGAAATTTTTCATCTCGATTTCAATGCAAGCGAAGTACCTACTGTCCTCGAAAACAAGCACTCAAGTTGAAGCATTTGTGTGCAAATTTTATTGTAAATCTCAAGGATCTACGCCTTCTTGGTCAAAAAGAATCGGCTTTCAGGCTAAGAGAAGGAAAAAATGAAATTTTTCAGTGGTGGATAGGTGGCCTTTCCGGCGTATCCTGTATGGTTTTGGAAAGAAGTGAAATTTTTTTTATTGGACAATCTAAATAAGAACCAGAGTTCGATCATTAGCTTGTGCAGATATAAAAATATTTTATTATTCTCGTATGAAAATTGGCCGACACTGAGACATCCTATTGGATGTGCTTCGCCAGTGGTAGACTTTATGGTACAGGTGTTGGCTTTAAGCGTTCGGCATCTAAAGGCTAAAGTTGCCGTTTTCCATGGAGGCGTTTGCACTACAAGAGAGGGAATGACTGGAGCGTTGGCATGGCTTCATTTGAAATTACAACTAAGCTAAGTCACTTCTTCAACTGAGGTTTATAGGTCAAAATTAATTTGCTGAATGGTTGGTTCAGCTAAATGACTTGCTGGTGTGGGTTACTAATGCAGTTGAACTCCAAGCACTATTATCCACTCTTTGAGGGATGCGGAGCTCTTTTATTTCATGATGATATGATATTTTTAGTTACGTTATTATTACGATATTGGCTCGTATTAGTCTTTTAGAAATATTGCCTCAGTATCTATATTTCTTTAATACGCATTACAACTGGTTTATGAACTATTTATTTTCAATAATAATAATAGTAAATGCATTGTTTAATTTCCTTATCTCTGTTCACATTTGATATATATTTTTTAAACATAAATATTAGAAAGATGACCACCAAGCGTCGTAATCACGGTCGCGCGAAGCCGCCGCACAGCCGCGGACGTGTGAAGCCGGTACACTGCTTCAACTGCGGTCGGCTGACGCCGAAGGATAAGGCGGTAGGCCGCTTTGTCGTGCGTCGTATGTTGGACGCCGCTTCGGCCCGCGATGTGGCGGAGGCCTCTCCGGTATATGGAGCAGGTTTCCCGATGCCCAAGCTCTACATGAAGCAGCGCTTCTGCATTGCGTGTGCGATTCACAGCCGAACCGTGCGTGCGCGTCCTGTGGAGAAGCGCAAGATCCGCCACACCTGCAAGGTCCCCTACCGTCCGGCCGCCAAGAAGTAAGTATCTTCTTTTAAAGTACAGCTGGTGAACTTCTTTTTCATCATTTCTATGAGTTTCCAAGAAAGAAAAAAGACATCTGTCCATGCGAATATAACTAATTATTAGCATAGTTCAATGTTCCTGACCAGTCACCTATTTATCATTTTTGCTTCTTTTTCCCCATGATTTACATATATGTTTTTTTATTTGCCGCCTTAGCGAGCGATTAGTGAACTTCATTTTATTTACCTTTTAGGGTCAATATTTCTTGTTAAACATACATGCGACGAAATTTGTTTTTGGCTTCAAAAATTATGTCTAGTAAGGGTTCATGGAGTGACCAGCCCGACGATGTGATTAAAAAAGCAGTAATGGACAAGAAACTACCGTTTTATGCTCTTGAACAGGCCGTCACACCGGACTACGAAAGAGCAATTGCTATTCGTCGCGAGATTGTGAAGGAGAAAATGTGCCCCTCGTCGTCATCCCCACATCTACTTGAAAAGGTGCCTTTCAAGGACTACGAATGGCCACGAGTGGTGGGCCAATGCTGCGAGAACATCCTCGGCTACGTGCCGATTCCTTTGGGCATGGCCGGACCCCTCTTGCTTGACGGTAAAGAGGTGTGTCTGCCTATGGCCACTACTGAAGGTGCACTCATTGCGAGCACCCATCGCGGCGCGCGTGCCATAAGCGAAAGCGGGGGTTGCACCACATTTCTTCTCAAAGAGGGAATGACCCGCGCCCCGGTTGTGGAGGTGGACAGCTTGGAGGATGCCGCGCGAGTGTACAGCTTTTGTGAGGAGAAGTTTGATGTTCTGAAGGCGGCTTTTGAGTCGACTACTCGCTTCGGCAAGCTGAAAAGTGTGAAATGCGCTATTGCAGGTCACAAAGTGCATCTGCGCTTCACTGCTTTCACTGGTGACGCAATGGGAATGAACATGATCACCAAGGGCTGTGATAAGGCGCTGGAGGTATTGAAGGAGCACATTCCGTCCCTGCGCGTGCTCGCACTTTCTGGAAACTTTTGCACCGACAAGAAGCCATCCGCTGTCAACTGGATCGAGGGTCGCGGTAAGACAGTGGTTGCAGAAGCTATCATTAAGGCTGAAACTATGGAAAGGATACTGAAATGTACGGTTGATGGTATTTTGAAGCTGAATGTAGACAAAAATCTCACCGGATCCGCCCTTGCGGGGTCCATCGGGGGCTTTAACGCTCACGCTGCCAATGTGGTAGCTGCCATTTTTATTGCCACCGGGCAGGACCCAGCGCAGGTGGTGGAGTCTTCAACCTGCCTCACCTCGATGGATAAGGTGGGCGAGGACCTCCTCATCAGTGTTTCCATGCCGAGTATCGAGGTCGGCACCGTCGGGGGCGGCACCGGGCTGGCGACTCAGAACGCCCTGTTAGAGATGGTAGGTTGTGCAGGAGCCAATCAGGCGGAGCCGGGTGCGAACTCCCGCCAACTATCCCGCGTTATCGCTGGCGCTGTGCTGTGTGGGGAGCTTTCCCTGATGTCTGGTCTTGTGGCGGGGCATCTTCTCAGCGCACACATGAAGTTGAACCGTAAGCCCACACAATAAAAATTCGAAGATGTGTTATAGTTCCTGCGTGGGGTATCTTTCATGTAGAGTCTAATATCGGGCTAAAAAGGGGAAAGAGAAGGAGTGCATTTCTAACCTACATACGATCCCGATTTTTAGACAGGAGTGTGTTCGCCTTAATTCCTGGAAAGTACCTTTACCAGTGTTTAATTCTTTCATATGAATGCATACTTTTGTTGTGATTATTTCACACTTTTAAAATGTGGCCGAATTTACTTTACCCTTTTCACCTCTTTCCCACGCCTCGGTTTGTTATTGTTGATATTTATGTGGGTCGCCTCATCATTAATAGTGATTAAAGGTAATTTCTTAGTGTACCATCTAGAAGAAAGTAAACATCAAAAGACAACAGCAAAACTAAGGTGATTAGGTTAGCAGGTAAATCTATATTCGAAAGAGGTAACGAGGAATATTAATCACACTCTAACTGTCATAATATGCCGTATCCTGTAATCTTATTTGTGGGGAATTTATCATCCGTTGCGAATGCCCAATATTTAGAGCGCTTATTTTCCTCCTATGGTGAAGTTCAGCAGGTGTCCATTCATAACAAAGGAAGTGATCGTTTTGCGGAGGTCAAATTTTCATCCATAGATGACGGCGATGCGGCTATTGCGGCTCTACACTATCGTTATCAGACTGCGAAAAGCCTTCCCTTAGTTGTGCTTTATTCCCAAAAAAGCGATTTTGTTTCTGACTATGGACGATTGGTGGGGCGTGAGTATCGACAAGCAATGGAAAATAATAGATTGCCCCGTTTGATTTTGTTGGAGCAATTTGATCCTCATTTCGAACGTAGCGAGGTTCAGTCACTTCCATCTGAGGAGTTTATCACTGAAGGTGGTCCTTCTCAACCCATTTAAGTCGTGGGGATTGTTTTAAATATGATGTGTGTAGGTGAAAAGCACAGAAAAACACTAAAAGACGATGAGAGATATGGTGTGTTTTTTTTCACTACTGTTCTTATGTGTCTCGATTCATTTGATATGAAACTCGAACTTTGAGTTTTATTCTTGGGTGATAAAACTTTCCCTTTTTTTTTTGTCATTCTCCTGTTGCGATTACATTGCTTCTACATCTTTTATGTTTATTGCTCATTTGCTACGTACTTATCTATCTATATTTAAATATTAACATTTCGCGTATTTGCAATGGACCACACAAGAATCTCACCTGCTGGTTAGGAAATTTGGGTGTGAACCAGATGGAAAAGTTAAAGCACTATGCTGTCTTGACATTTTCTAGAGTTGTCCTTTTATTTTTCTATAATTCTAGGATCATTTTATTTTGCGTGTATCTCAATTGCTTGAGACAATAGAATGGTAATGAATAGCCGATACTGTGCGTTGTAGTAGGCGCGATGAATGAACCTATTAACTAAGGAAGTTCAATCTTACTGTGGCCTTGAGCCCTCGACAGTGGTTTCAACCCTTTTTTCTTTACTAGCTGATCGACTTTGCTTATCAAAATCTTTTAATCCCCCTTTTTTTTATGTCTCATTGTTTCTTCTTTTGCCAAAGCTACTTATTTGAAGTCACTCTCCGTACTCGGAAGTTTTCGCTGTAGGTAGGTCTGCCTTCATACTGGGACTGCACTCAGGATTTTCTAAGTGCTTTCAGTGATCTATATTGTAAAGTAAGCATTATTTAGAAGCAGTAAAAATATTATGAGTTCTAGCGAAGCTCGTGCAGAGCGATTGCGCCGCGTCAACCATTATAAGGCTGTACAGGCTGAACTTGCGAGGCAACGAGAAGAGGCTGAATTCATTGCACGAAGGGAGCAAAAGATACGTGCTGCCGAAGCGGATGCGGAGTTAGCTGCAGAGTTAGCAGAGCGGCAATGTAGGGCCACCAGAGATGAAAAAATGCTACAGTTCGTTCGGGATTTTCCCGAAGTACGCGAGTTGGAGCAGAAGCTGAAGGATGCGTACCTCAAAAAGACGCGAGCCGAACAAGTAATCGACAAGACTGCTGCCAAGAGGCAGGAGATGGAGGAACAAAGGAGATATATTGAAAATTTAAATGAGCAGAACAGACAAGCTGATGCGATAGAAGAGAAGAAGCGACTTAAGGACATTGAGAGCTTCCGCGCACACCAAGAAGCGCAATTAGAGCTTATTAGACAACGCCAAGAGGCAGCCCGCAAGGAAGTAAAAGAGAAGTTGCGAGAGCGGATTGCAGTTGATGCAGTGGTGGCTCGCGTTCATGAAAAGGACTTCCTCAATGCCCTTGAGCGGAAGGAAAAACAACGAAAGCTCCAAGAGGAGCAGGATGAATTCTACTGCATTCGAGCTGCCTTGAAAAAGGCAGAGCAGGAACGGGAGGCCAAGGAGGAGGCTGCTATCCAGGCTTACCTCGCGGAGCAAAGTCGACGTAAGGAGGCAGACGAAAAGACATTCCGCGAGCGGAACCAGGTGAGAGCAAACATTCTAGAGGAGCAGGGTCGTTTTATCATGGAGGAGCAGCGAAAGAAGCAGGAGCTAGAAGACCTATTGCACGACTATTACGAGGAGGAACGCCTCGCCAAGGAACGGGCCTTGCTCAAGGCTGAGAAGGAAAGCCGTGAACGTATGAGCGCGGCAATTACACGTGAAAACTTGGAGCTCATCGAGCAGCGCCGTAGAGCGCGTGAGAAGGAGCAGTCTGAGGAGATGGCGTATCGTCAGCAGCTCATGGAGGAACTTGCTGCAAGTGCCAAGTTGGAGCAACTCAACAGGAGGATGCAGATTCAACGCAAGAAGGAAATTATTGCAGAAACTCAGAAACGAATGGAAGAAAGACAAAAGCTTAAAGAAGAGGAAAAGCTAATTGAGAAGCAGGTCGAAGAATTGGAACGTAAGCGTGAGGAAGAGATTCAAGAGTATATTCGACGCGCTCGTGCGCAGTTATTGGAGGAGCATATGTCCAAACTTGGTGAGTTCGCCCCACTTCGTCATCTGAAGCCCGAGGAACGAGAGAAATATTTACCCGCAAATGGATCCTCCCAATGAGGCTTTGTGTTATGCTTTCTCGGGCTAACCTAGTGCGATTATTAGGTACGATTAACCAAAAATCTGAGGGAAGAACTCCGTAACGGGAAGTCAATGTGCAGTATGGGGTACTTTTTCTCGTTTTTTTTTTTAACAAATGTATATTCCCTTTTATTTTCCAATATTTTGAACTCACAAACAAACAGATGCAGGAACGACAATATGAAGTAGCATTGTAATCACTCAATTGGACTAATTAATCCTAATTGAAGTGGTACATTGAAAAATTTATGAACGCGGACCTCTTGTTGCCTTTCAATATATCCTTTATGCCCATGTTCACATTTTCTCACTGTTTGTTTATCTATCTAGATAACAGTGGAAGAGAAGATCGGATAGAGATATGAAATCTAGAGGTATAGATAAGGTATGGAGGGCTGCACCCCTTCCACAAACCTTCCAGACTGCGCTAGAAGCAGGTGATTGGCTGCGGGCGCTTCACATTTACCAGCGCCATCCGTATCATGCTCCTCCTTCCGACACGTGTGACCTCCTCAAGACCATCATGCATGCTACCGGGGTTGGCGTAGAGGATGTGAAAAGCCGATTTAATGAAAAGATTACACTCTCAGCAATATTTCAGCGTAAGGCGCCTGAGGAGGTAGAATGGGGTGTGTTTTGGGATGCCCTTAACAAAGGCGACGGCAAGGTGATCAGTGCAGCGCTCAGCGGCGCTCATGTTTCGGCGCCAGCCCAGCAGATTGCGATTGCGGAGGCCTGTGCCGTGTTGCTGAAAGCCGCCGGTAAGGACTGGGAGGAGAAACTCATGGAAAGCACACCGTTTGCTACGGTTACGCGCAGCAACCTCGTTCAGGTTGCCCTTATGATGCAGCGGTGGGACGTCGCGGTTGATATTCTGCGCCACGTTCGGTTTACCCGCGCTGATGTTTCGATTATTTGGCCTCTGATGGCGCAGTTTGGGTGGAAGGAGGTTCTTCAGATGATATCCGCATGCCCTAAGAATTCGGTTCCGTACGACCAAGTGCTTCCATTTATTTTAAAGAAAGGTTGCAGTCTACAAACGTTATCGGAGCACCTGGAGCAGGCTCGCGTGCTTGGTGATGTCGATGTAGTGGCGCCACTTATCTCCTATGCGATAGAAACTCACAATTGGGATTATGTAGATCGCGGCATGGAGCACTTGGTTGATATTGGACAGATATCCGCTGCAGCACGTGACGCTTTTGCGCATCTTTGCAAACTTCATGGGCACGAGAGGGTTTGCAAAGCTTTGAAGGATCATAATTTAGACTTATCAAAATTGACAATTAAACGTCTGGAGCTCCTTCGTTTGTAATCTTTTTCTTTGCATTGCACGATATAGGAACATTGAAAGGGACCTGCTGGAAATGTTCCTTTGTTTTACTCTCCGCTAATTTTAGCCTTTTGATTCCACAATGGTCACCCCATGGGTCTTAGAGCAGCCTTTTTCTACTCGGTTAATCCTCTAGCGCTCTCAATAAGAGACAGAGGAAACTTCAGCATCTGTCGTTAGAGATTTTTCCCAGCTTTATTTGGATAATTTGTGCGATACTGGAATAGTTTTTATTTTTACAGTTGTATCGTGTTTTTGTACTTTTCTCTTCAGTTCTCTTCTTGAAGAGCTATTCTTTGACATCACTCCTTTTTTCCCCTGAGTTCTTCAGTCCTCTCACTCTATATATTTGATTATTATCTAGGTTCATCTTTATCGCTTTAAAAAATTGACAGCACTCACATATCCATTAATATGAAGCTATTGTGTTTTCTAGCAATTCTTGTTTTCGGGGTCACCTTGTGCTCTAGTCCTTGCTTAGCACATAACACTCAAGGAGATGGATCGATCCAAAGTATTGACCCTTTTATCTTCGTATCAAAAACCACCTCCTGTAATGACCTTGCACTAGGATCCTCGGTAGAAATCGTTACCACTGTGTATAATTATGGCCAGAGCCCAGCCTTTGATGTGGTCATCACCGACATGTTAGAAAACGGCACTATAAAGGAGAAGAGGGTGGACTCGATCCCCTACAATGGATCCGAGACTTTGCGCTACCACATCCAGCCCTCTAAGCTAGGGGAATACCCCGTTGGCCTCGCGACTGTCCGGTATAATCTGGAACAGGGCGATAACACGACGTCACAAACAGCGCTCAGCAATCTGATACGTGAAGGTGATGCGTACTACATGGGTGAAGACGTTGATGATGAATCTTTCCGCGGTAGGCTGTCAGTGCTCACACGCGAACGGTACGATCGCCTGCACGCACGCTTTATCAAAGAGACAACGGCGTACATTTTTCTCGGATGCATTCCCACAATCTTCCCCTACGTCCTCTATCATGTAAAGCAGTCCATGATTGTTGAAATACTCCGACGTTCGAAGCGAAGCCGGTGAATGTATCTGAAGGGATTATAGGGTAGCATGTATTCGCGCTTTAACAAGCAAATCTGATGAAATCTAACAAAAAATCGTCGTGAAAGCCAGTAAATTCTGAAGTGGGCTTTCTTTTTGAATTTCGCACAAAAAGCTGGGCTAAAGTGTGAGACTTCTGTTTTCTGAATAAGCTTGACGGTTGTGGTTGGCTTTAACATTTAATGCAGAGGGGGGATAAAGATAAGTGTGATGGGGCAAATGCGGCAGCGAGGAGAGTGTGGTGGTGGTATTTGGTATATTAATTGCTATGTCATTTGCTTTTTTATTGGGCTACAGGAAGGGTTTTAATATGCATGGGTGTATATATAAAGTGACGTTGTGTTTTGATCAATAATGAAGTAAATATACCAGGTAATGTGCTTCATCTTGTCCGTTTGTTAATTCACGGATAAAGCGAAAATTGCGTATTCAAACTTGCAGCTGAGAATGATTACTTTATTGTATTCCACTTATGCCTAAATTTTACTTCTTCATTGTTATATGCATTTTCTTGATATCTCATACAGATAAGACCCATAGTGTCAAAAAATTCCTTTAACGTGGCGAGTATATTCTTAAAAGGTACTTCTGTTCCGTATTTAATAGCAGGATAGAACATTTCGCCTGGAATTTTTTTCGCTCTACGAGGATTTTATCACGTAAATAAATTCTCACATTTAGTTTTTCCTACTTCTTTCGTTCACTATTTTCGTTAAGAAGCATCGATGAGTGACCATGGTATACTTGTCGTTGAGGAGAAGAGCATCGTTGATAGCCTTGACTCAGAAGAGGTTTCACAATGTGAGCTTGCTAACGTCTCTTTTTGCTCTGAGGTATCCTCGATTGGCCCCAAAAGTTCAGAATCGTTTCGAACTTCAAGAAAGATATCAAGTATTTCATTGGACACTGACGAATGCGAAAGCGTCAATAATGAGAAGGTCAAGGGGAAGCAATCCGATGACGACAAACGCCACTGGATGATTCACGGTCCCAGCCGCGCGAATTGGGATCTTGACTACCAACGTATCCTTGCTGATCGCCAGAATAAACTGAATAATTTTATTCTTAGGCAAAGCAAAGCGGCTAATGTCAAGCGTCACGATCACCATATCATGTTGCGGATTCTAATTAGTGAGGCCTACTTTCGAGACCCGGATCGAGCAAAGAATCGTCCTTTGTGGAAGAAGATTGTGGCCGAGATTGGGAAGGAATATTGGGGCGCTAATGCCATCTTCAACCTTTCTCCTGATCCCTATCACGACGTGCTTGCGAAGTTATCCTCGATGATGATCTGGAATAATAAGGCACGCCACTGGCGGTATCAGTATCATGATACGGAGTTGGAAGCACGACAGGCACGTCAGCTCGAGATATTGGAGCGTTTGAAGTTGAGTGGAAAGTTATTCTTGTAGCGAATTAATTATGCCAAGGATTAATATTAAATGCATCATTAAAAACACACACACAAACAAAAGAGTCGTTCGTATCTATTTTATGTTTTCGAAAAGCAAAGTAACCCATTGCATATTAGCGGTGGCGGAGAACCCTCTTCATCATCAGCGTGACGTCTTAGGTTCGACTCTTTTTAAAGGTTCTTATGCATTTCAAAGAGGGTAGATAGTAAGGCATTCCGAATTAGCTTCCCGAAGGGCTAAGAGTGAACCATTTTTTTTTAGTTCGTATTTTTGAAGCATATTTCATCAATTTGAGGTGCGCTTTAATAAATCAACTGCACCTCTAAATACAATAAGGAAGTAATATTTGAGATGCATTAGCCAAGGAAAGATTAGGTGACAGTGTCTTCATACGACCAAATAACTAAAATATAGTGTGCTGGTGGGGAGAGATGCTGTAGCAAGTAATAAGATTGGGCGAAGATTTGGTTATATTACTAGGATGTAGTGTGTTTGTCTATTTCCATGCTTAAATATTTGTGTCTCATGAATGAGGCCATGAAAATCGAAGGCACTGTCTTATTGCTTTTTATTGAAACACATTTTATGCTTCTCTTTGAAAATGCCGCATTAATGTAATATTTGATGACGAGAAGAGGTTGTTGTAGAGTTTCTTTTATTATTATTATTCTAGTTTGTAAAAAAATTTCAATTACACAGCCGTGACAGTTTAATACTTTGATAGTTAGGAGTTTCCTGTAGACTCTCCTGTCTTCAAATGTCATGAGAGGGAATTGGAAAGAGGAATAATAATAATTTGTCACTACCAATAAGCGTTTCACATGTTGACTGTTCGCTTTCAGGGGTAGGTTGAGGTAATGCAAGAGCACATTGCCTGCTTAAAGGCCATTTTCTTAGACATAAATATGTTTTTTTCGTTTAGTATAATAGGAAAAGGGAAATGCAAGCTCATTTTTTCCTGTTTCGCCGAGTGCAGCTTTTAAAATTTTTTTTACATTTTTATATCTGAATGTGTATATATGTATATATATACATATACATACGTATGCATAGAGTTATTTATCAGTTTCTACTTGAATATGTCTACGTATTCGTAGTTGAGCACGCGTAAAAATTTCATGTACGCCCTTTATTTGTCTGCTTTTCTGATGTGCCTGAAGGGACAAAATGAGCAGCATAGATTTAACTATCTTTTTTATGCCCCTTCCTTAATATCTAATAGCACCCTGTAATATCTTATTTTTAAATCTTAAATGTGATTTTTATGTGTAAAAAAATGTTTCATTAGTGAATTATATTTCATTCCGAGGGACACGAATGCATATCTACTTAAATGGATATACCACTTTCAAGGTTCAAAGAGGTTTATAGAAAAAAACAAGCAAACACAGACGAATAATTTTTTTTCTCAAATATTGTGTCTCAGGTCGAAGGGAAAAATCCTTTGTTCGAAATTCAAACTCATAGGGAGCTGAACCGCCACAAATAATAAAAACAGCCAAAAAAAATGTTAAAAAGGGGTTTCTATATGAAATTTTATTTCTATTCGCTTATCAAATCCCGTCTGTCTATTTTTATTTAGCTTCTGAGCTTTAACAGTACTGGTGCGCGTGATCAATGGGTTTTGAACTTCCATTACTTCTATTTCTTCCTTATTGTTGTGCTTCCTAGTTTTCTATTTTACCTACCTATTCAGTGGATTTGATAACGATAGACGAATAACAACCATTGACGACGCTTCGGAGGTTGCCTTTTCTGATGAAGGCTCTCACAGGTGAAATGGCCGCCACTTACGATCCAGCGGATGTCGAGAGTGGGTGGTATTCATGGTGGGAGGAGTCGGGATTTTTCCGTCCGGCATCCGACATGCAGCGACCTACAAATGGCAAGAAGTTCGTCATCGTTGCACCGCCGCCGAACGTAACGGGGCATCTCCACCTCGGGCACGCACTGACAGGTGCGGTGCAGGACGCCCTGATCCGTTTTCATCGGATGAAGGGCGATGACACGCTGTATTTGCCTGGTACCGATCACGCGGGGATCGCCACACAGGTCGTTGTGGAGAGGCTCCTCATGAAACAAGAGGGTAAAACGCGCCATGATTTGGGTCGAGAGGAGTTCCTGCGCCGCGTGTGGGATTTCAAAGACAAGCACGCCGGCTTCATCACGAAGCAGTTCCGTGAAATTGGTCTCTCGTCTGATTGGACACGCGAGCGATTTACGATGGATGAGCACTGCTGCCGAGCTGTCATCGAGGCGTTTGTTAGGATGTACGATCAGGGCCTCATCAAACGCTCGAATCGCCTGGTAAACTGGTGCTGCGCGCTGCAGAGCGCTATTTCGGACCTTGAGGTGGAGTTTGTGGATGTGGGAAAAAACTCGAAGTTCAGCATCCCAAACTACGACAGGAAGGTTGACATGGGTGTTCTGACACACATAGCGTACAAATTATCGGACGGTGACGGCGAGCTCATCATTGCTACAACGCGCCCCGAGACGCTTCTTGGTGATACCGCCGTTGCCGTCCATCCTGACGACGTGCGCTACAAGGCGTTTCACGGTAAATTTCTCAAGTGCCCTTTCCGCGATGAAGTTATCCCCGTCGTTTTGGACTCGACACTGGTGGACATGAACTTTGGCACGGGTGCGGTGAAAATTACACCCGCGCATGACCCCAACGACTTCGAGGCGGGACAACGCCACAACCTTCCCCAAATCACCATGATGGATCTCAACGGAGTTGTCTGCATGGAGGGCCCATTCAAGGGCATGCACCGCTTTGATTGCCGTCGCGCGATTGTGAAGAGGCTGGAGGAGATGGGCCTGCTGCGTGGGGTGGAGCCGTACGAGTACCGCGTCGGCCGCTGCAGCCGCACCGGCGACATCGTCGAGCCGCTGCCGATGATGCAGTGGTTTGTCGACTGCACGGAGGTGGCGCGGCGCTCCGTCGAGGCGGTGCGGCGGCGAGAGCTGAACCTCATCCCCGTCTCCCACGAGGCTGTCTGGTATCACTGGCTGGAGAACATCAAGCCGTGGTGCGTCTCCCGGCAGCTGTGGTGGGGGCACCGCATTCCCGCCTACCTGGTCCGACTGGAGGGGGCCGCGGGGCTGAAGGGGCACCCCGACCCGTGGGTCGTTGCCCGCGACCTCGCGGAGGCGCGCCGGAAGGCGCGGGAGAAGTTCGACCTCACCGAGGCCGAGGCGGCGGCCGCGACGTACGAGCAGGACCCTGATGTCCTCGACACGTGGTTCAGCTCCGCGCTGTGGCCCTTCTCGACGCTGGGCTGGCCGGACGACACGCCGGACCTGCGCCGCTTCTTTCCGACGTCGCTGATGGAGACGGGGCACGACATCCTGTTCTTCTGGGTCGCCCGCATGGTGATGTCGTCGCTGCAGCTCGTCGGAGAGCTCCCATTCCAGGACGTCTTTCTCCACGCGATGGTTCGCGACAAGAACGGGGAGAAGATGTCCAAGTCCAAGGGAAACGTGATTGATCCCCTTTTTATTGTGCACGGGGCCACCTTGGAGCAGCTTCATGAGACCATCTACAGCGGCAACCTTCCCGCGAAGGAGGTCGAGAAGGCGATCAAGCTGCAGAAGGAAAGCCACCCAGAGGGGATCATTGCATGTGGCAGCGACGCGCTGCGGTTTGGCCTGCTATCTTACACTCAGTCCGGACGAAACGTCAACCTTGACATCGCCCGTATTGTTGCGTACCGCCAATTCTGCAATAAGCTATGGAATGTCGTTCGGTACACCCTATACCACGCGCTTGGGACGGACTATCACCCTAAAAAGATATCGTTTGATGTCGAAGCTGACGGCTCGAGCTTGCCGCTAGAGTGCAAGTGGATCCTATCTCGCCTAGACTTTGCCATCGAGGAGGCGACGCGCGGTATGTCTTCCGGCACCTATGATTTTGCTCTCACAACCAATGCCGTGTATCGCTTCTGGCTGTATGAACTTTGTGACGTATTTCTTGAACTCACGAAGCCGGTTATTCAGAACAACGGGGAGGATAAGCAGCTGGTTCAGGATGTGCTCTTGTATGTAGTCGAAAAGGGTCTGCGACTGCTCCACCCCATGATGCCGTTCCTGACCGAAGAGCTATGGCATCGTCTACCGCATTACGATACCTTCAACACGAAGACCATCATGCTGGCGCCGTATCCGGAAACGAGTGGGTGGTCTAACAGAGAGGTTGAAGAGTCGATGAAGCTCATTCTTGATGTTGTACACAGCGTGCGCTCCACCAAGGCTTCTTATGGCCTGACAAACAAACACAAGCCTGGCGTCTGGGTTCTCGCGCACACACCCGCGATCAAGAAGTTGTTTGAGCAGAAGGCTCTCATTGTAACTACTCTGGGTGTGGTGGGAAGCGTCGATGCTATTACTCCTGAGGAGGAAGCCACAGCAGTACCAAAGGGATGTGGCTTTTCAGTCATCACCAAGGAGGTCGGTGTGTACATGATGTTAATGGGATTTATTGATACGGATAAAGAAATAAAGAAACTTGACAACCAGTTGGCAGTTATTGTGAAGCAAATCGAGGTACTGAAAAAGAAAATTTCGATAAAGGATTATGAGACAAAGGTTCCCGAAGAGATTCGTAATATGAACGCCGAGAAGCTTGATACGCTTTCAAAGCAACAAGCACAGCTGGTGGACAAAATAGAAAAGATGCAAGCGTTAAAAGACCAGTAACAACTATAAAAATAGTTAACCTCATTGATCTTATGAATACATATGGTGCAGAAAAAATCATCCCTTTCTCCTTATGGGATTGCTTCCTGTTATGGCAGCATAGTTGATGAGCGACGGAATAGAGCACTATAGGATGCTTTTTTTCACTAAAAACGATATGCGATTTCATCGTTTTATGATTATCGTTTTTCTGTTAAGATTTAGTAGTAGTAATTTTCCCATGTTGTAAGTATTCATTCTTATTTTTTAAGCACGTAATTCTGTCTACTCCGTGTTAAATACTTTTGCTAAGTAAATAAAAACTGATAAAGAAACGCCTTTATCCTTAATTTATATCGCGGATTACGTTGGTAGCTCACCAAGATACTATTTTAGATTAACTACCTAATATTTGTCATGCTTTTTTCCCCTGTCCCCTTGGTTAACTATAGCCCCTGCGAAGTGCTAGCAGTTAAAATATTAGGCTATTCTTTCAAAGTTTACAAGCTTTAATTTTTCACTTAAGCCCCCAGTCTCTTCCATACCTAAAAGTGTAAATGCCCTCATGGACTTGCTCCCGTGATGAATATCCCCAGTCCGTTCATGCGTTGATGTCTCTGTGGGGTGGGTTCGCACCACTAACGGAAGTTAGCGATAGTGGTCTAGAAAAGCGTCTCGAGGTGGACTTTAAATTCCCCTGTCCGATCGGAAAGCTCACTGTGGCTGACATAGAGGCCCTTATGAGGAACGTTGATGAATATCTCGAGAATTACTCTTGCGAGGGTGATTTTCAGTCGTTCACATTCTCACAAACCTTGATCGTACTCACCTCGAAAATGCTTATGATGAGCAGCAACTCAACGGTGATGTTGCACCACGTCTTGAAACCGTTGTTGGATCTTCTCAACCAGCGCAGCGTTCTGGTGGAGTGGATGTCGTTTTCTCGTAGGAACACAACGGCACCATGGAGCACGCAATGCGAGACGAGCGACATCATGGCTCAGGAGTACGCCGAGCTGAAAGCTGCCTTTCCTACAGGTCAGTCCTTTCTGTTGGGCCCCGTCGATAGCGAGCACTACTTTTTCTTTACCTTTGATGCAATTGACCGGTCAGAGGGCAATGCGGTAGAGCAAGATGTACAAATCAACGTGTTTCTTTATGACATCGTGCGGGATGAGGATGATGAACTGGCCCCCAACGTCGGATTGACTCGCAAGAATACGCAACAATTGACACATTTGGAAGGAAACACTTACGAGATTATGCGTACTTTTGATGATATTTCATACATTTCCTTTGAGACCAACGCACGAGTCGCTATGGAATCCCCGGCGCGTCTGGAGTCGCTACTGAAGAAGTACAAGCCCTCAAAAATCGTTATGTTTGCGCTCCAAGACAGGAATATAGAGCCTGGTATGCTTTGTCGCACCTACGCCACTTTACCCGGCTACGCGTTACAAAGCTCCCTCACTAACCACTTCCGTGAAGGATATTCATTTTACCAATTAACTTTCGTTTGTGGTGACGAATAATGATGATGATAAAAAATGCCATGAACTGAAAGAATAGTTAATGTGGGCATTTATAAAATAAAGCTAGGTTAAAGAAACTACGTTAGCAGTGAGAATGGGGACAAACAATATTCAAACACACCAATAACTTTTCTAGATTTTGTTTACGTTAATGTTGAATATTAAAATTTAATAAAAGTTGTTACATTCTAAATAAGTCCAGCGAAGACGGCATTACATAAAGAGTTTTCTTCTATGTAGTGCCTTTTGTTTTACTTGCCTTTTTGTTTTTAGCTTTTTCTTTTTTATTAAGGAAAGATTCTTTCCTCCCCAGTTTTTTCCGCCAGTTTACAGAGCCTTAATCTCGAATGGGAAAACAGATAAGAAGACGTGATTTTTTTTTCACTGGTGACTGCATACATTGCAGTCCACAGGTTCAGGTGGTCTGATGAATAAGAAGAGTATCTGGTAAAAAATAGATACCTGTGTGCACTATATCTTCATAATTCTGCCATGAAGTGATTTCTTGTCTTTTTATCAGTTTACCCATAGAGTATTATTGGCGCTAAACACCACTTTTTGCATGCTACGATAACCCGAATGCCCCTAATAAACCGACCGATCAAAACAAACGTTACTATGATCAAAGCCATCGGTTGCTAGGGCTAACTTCTTCCCCCGCTGTCTCATTGAATAAAAAAAATGTGCACCTCACATTCGACGCACTCTTTTGCTAAAGTTTTTGTGTTTTCAACGTCGAATGGTGGCACATCCTTCCCGCGAAACCTCTATTTCACACCGCTACTTCCTTGTGAAGCAAAAAAATCAAAGGAAAAAAACAAAAATGAAAGAGAGTAACCGTTTTGACCCCTCTTTTTAACCCATCTCCCTTTCTATGATATGCTTCACTTTTCTTCCACGTACTGACATTCGAATCGTCGCTTCAATATTATCTACACAATGAATGTGATTCTACTACATCTTTTTCCAGTCTCTAACGGGGGGCATTCCTCTTTTCATTCTTGGTAAGCTGAGCTTCCTTTTTTTGTCTTGTTCCTATGAGTTTGTCTATATTTGTACTCGTGTTCTACGTGTGGTGCAAAAAATGTAAACGAACAAAAAGGAACAGCGACAAAAAGAAGCGGAAGGGCCGAATCAAGAAGGGTATATTGGAAAATCAAACATCATTTTCCTCCCTTTTTGTTCCCCTTTTATCGGTGGCGACGCAATGATGCACGTCGTCACCTCGGAGGTGTACTGGTATTCTCGGACTGGCCGGTAAATTGGCGAAGGAGCAAATACGAAAAGCTTTTACTGAAATTAACACAGACCAACGTGTTTTGCTATTTGGACGACAACCACTGGAGAATAATGAAGGTTCAGTTAGCACATTTCTTCGATGATTTGATACATTTGCAAGGGTGTGCTCATTTATTTTTGCAAAAAAAAATAGTGAATCCTTCCTTTTTATGGTTTGTTTTTTCGTTCCTATGGCAAATACAATTTCCGGTTCTGATTTCAGTAGCTTTAAGTTTTGTTTACACCGTGTAGAAAGAGCAACGCTTTAACTTATTTTTGGTTTTGATAAATTTGTTTTAGACTGTAGTTTTACATTTTTAATGCTATTGCTAACGGTAACGTGTTTTGCGTACGACAGTTTCCAGGCTAAGCACAGATAGCATATTCACACTCACATGAACAAGTACTTTATGTTCATCGATTTATTTTTACTTTTTCTTTCCTATAGAATGGTCCCTAATACACTTTTCTATAGGTTCGCCTTGCACTAAGGATAATTCATTTTTCGAGTTACTATACCTCCATTTTTTGTTTTTTTTTCAACAAAAGTTAAGAAAAACAAGCGTTTGCTCAAGCTTTTCATTCCTGAGCCTTTCCTACGAAACCTGGTGAGTGAATAAAGCAACTACACTTTTTACGCTTTACGGCGTCTTGGTGTTAGCCATTTACCGTGGCTCTTTTTCGTTTTATGAAATAAAGAGCCAATAGGCAAATTTGAACGAAATTTTTAATTTTCAGACTTCAAATGAGAATACCTTAGTGGTGCGTACACTTCCGAGAGTTTATTTAAGATGGAGAGGAAGAAGATAACAGAGTAGTAATATATATTTATATATTTTCTCTTTTTTTTTATATATTCAGATTTCGTTGCAAGTAAGGGTATTTCTTGTTCAGCCAATGTTAGAATTCAGATACCATTTATCTTTGCTTGTGCAACTGCACATCGTCCATCATTTCTCCAACATTGAATTATAAAAAAAAGACGGTACATGTTCGAAGAATGAAGTTAGCTATGATGAAGGATGTGAAAAGTTCAATGAGAAAATTATCGAGAAGTAGCTGCGTCATTCCTTTCTTATTTTTTTTTCTGTTCAATTTCTTTCCTACTGAGCCCCATTCCCATGTGAATGCTAAATACCGATCCTTGATGGAAGTGTTTGGGAATATTATTGAAGATAGACATATTTGTTAAAGTAGGAGGAGAAAGAGATACAAGGAAAAAATGATGAAAAGAATACTAGCACCGAGTAGCATTGCAAAATTTTTAAGCTCCCCCCTTTTTTAAAGATCCGTATTGTTGTCATTATTTATGTATTTTCTTAAGTTTTCACAATATCACTCTGATCACTTTTTGATGCTAGATATAATATCACACATGAAGTGAAGTGATGATTGAAAACTGTTCTAAAGGTGATGCATTGATTGCTCTTTTCGAAGGAACATCAATGGAAAGGTTTGCTAAATATTCTTTAGCAATATGATTATGGTGCAACAAAAAGCTTTCATATATTAAGATACTTTTTTAGCCTTTGTCAGGGGTAACAATTTTTTTCGTTGAAATTATAAATCACGCGAGGAAAACGTGTTTAGGAATTTAAATATGAAAAAGACTATATGACAGAGGTACTATAAAATTGGCGTTCATTTAAGCGAGAGCTTCGTTGAAGTATTTGATTCCTACATAGTAAGTTGTTAACCTTAGGTATTTTTAACATATTTCGATCAGTGGAAAAAATATTATATTGGATCAAATGGACTGTTATTGATCTCCCCGTTTCTCGGAATAAGGAGGGAGGGATGTTCTTCTTTTTTTTTTTAAATCCCCATCTTGAATATGTTTCAAATGCCCTCGCCTTCGCCCTCTTTCTTTGAAAAATGAGTACCGCGAATAAGGACGGTTGGTGTTAGGGTTTGCTTCCTTTGAGCGTTCTTCGCCTTTTCGATTCTAAGAACGAATCGTGATGTCCTCCAAAGATCCAGTCACGCTTATGGCGATGTGGGGCTCGATGAAGGACTACAATCCCGATCAGGGGTTTAGTTTTGAGGGGCCAGAGAAGCGTTTGGAGGTGATCATCCGTTTTCTTCCCGAAACGCATCCCGACGGCTTGTACAGCCTTGAGGATGACGTGTGGGCCCGCGTGGTGGGCACCCTGAATGCTCAAATCGTTTCAAAGGAGAACAATGCGCATATCAAAAGCTACGTTCTTACGGAGAGCTCACTTTTTGTGATGAGGAACCGCATCATTCTCATCACGTGCGGGACGACGACCCTGCTAAACAGTATTCCGGAGATTCTCAAGGCCATCAGCGCGGTCCGCGCGGAGCTGGAGTGGGCGTCCTTCATGCACAAGAACTATTCCTTCCCCTGGGAGCAGCGCGGCCCGCACACCTCCCTCTCAGGCGAGATCGCCACCCTCAAGAGCCACTTCCCCACGGGCAAGACCTACATCCTCGGGCCCGTTGACAGCGACCACTACTTCTTCTTCTGCTACGACGACGTCATTCGGCCGTACAGCAACGAGGACGATACGCAGCTGAACATGACCATGTACGGCCTTGACAAGGAGCAGACGAAGTACTGGTTTAGCGATCGCTTCATCTCGACGAGCGCGGAGACGGCGGCGATACGTGCGGCGACGCACCTTGATCGTCTGGTCGACGAAACGTGGACGTTTCACGACCTGCAGTTCGAGCCCTGTGGCTATAGCGTGAACGCCTTGCGGGAGGGGGAGTACCAGACCATCCACATCACCCCCGAACACCACTGCTCCTTCGCCTCCTACGAGACGAACTGCCATGATTCGAATTACGCAGATCGAATAAAAAACGTGCTGAGCGTCTTTCGACCGCAACGGTTTACCGTGCTCGTCTTCCTCGACCCCGAGAGCGCCGTCGGGAAGGCGTATCATGACACCCACTCCATCGGCGTCGAGCCGGAGTACTTCACGGAATATGAAGTTTTCAATCGAACGGTGAATGAGTTTACGCCTGGCTATGTGGCAATGAAAATCAACTACGTGAGGTCGATGGCCGTAGAAGATGCAATGAAGCAAACCACGTAAACTCAATGTATATGTGTGTGTGGGGAGGGAGGTGTACGTTAACTAGGCACGCGAATGGCGAGAAGAAGATCATCTCGCATGCTTGGTTGGGTTTCCTTCACCAAACTCAACCGTATCAGTTGGGATAGTCTTTTGTGATTGTGTGCAAGGCGTTTATATCCCACTTTTCTTAGCATTTTCAAGTCAGGGATTCATATGCTTTGCAAATCTGCTCTGATAAGAAATGGAAAATTGCAAGCAAATTCTTGAGATCCACCAAAGAACTTGGTAGCATTCTCGCTTTTATTGTTGCATAATATATGGTAACCTCTGCCCCTCCCCCCTTTTACGGAAATTAGTAAATTGTAATAGAGCGTAGAAATTTTCAAACGCTTTAAATATCATGCGTCTCAGTCTTACTTTGAAAATAATGATCATAGGGGAAAGAAAGAATACATCAGAGATGAATTCTTTTGATTTTTAGTACTATTTAAGCCGTCTTCGGATGGTCCCTTGATGCATCAATATTAAAAAGGGATAGGTACTCATGGAGCATACTCACAATATCTGACATTATTATTATTATTATTGCGCTAGTTGATATAATTTGTAAAGGGAATACGGATTTTGGCTGATCAAAACGTATTTTCTGATAATTTAGCTTTCGTGTTGAACCTAACTTGCATTCCTAATTTATAAATTTAAACCCTAAAAAACAATACATCACAAAAGATTTACTCCATGTGGAAATTAATGAATGCGGGTAGTATTAGGGTGTACGCGGGTTAAAGGGCCTTCTTGTGCCTAATTCTAATAGAAATCAACCTAAGGAGCTTATTTTAGCGTTAGGGCAATGGAAGGATTACTGTTGTTCTTATTTTCTGATAATGAGTGATTTATCACCGGTATTACTCATGAATATCATACCTCGGATTGGCTTGACAGGGCCGCTTTTTTTTTGACTTCTTTGTGCAGGAGCAATAGGACAAAAGCGCAAGCGACCCTGCATAGCACTTATCCATATCCCAAGGGAAAAATAGCATACGTAGAGTTTCTGGCCGGATGTTTCGTCCTTTATTTCTTCTTCGAAGCACAGTTCCCATGCATGTGGGCCGAGTTCGCCCCTATCACCGAGTTCTGCAAGCCATGGAGCAAGGGGGGCAGGGGTTATCGGTAGCAGCAGAGGTCTTTAAGGAGTTTGAGCTCTCCTGTCGGAATGAACCAATACACGACAACAAAAACGCCCCCCTAAGCAGCACAGGCTCCAGCGCTACCCCTCGCAAGCCGCTCACCGAGTTTTGCGGGGATGCTAAAGATGTCGAGCCTTTGACAATATTGCTTTTGAAAGCCCTGTGCGACTTGCGTAGATTAGATGAGATGCGCTTCCTTTTTACACAGTCCTTGCTTGAACTGGATAGTGGGATACCGCTCTCAATTGAGTTATTCAATGTGTATTTGCTAGCCATATCTATGACCGAGACCTATAGTCTGAACGAGGTGGAGAATGTTATCGAGCTCATTCGATGCAAGGGCGCTACGCCGGATATCATCACGAAGCTCTCCGTGTTTATCTTACATTTGCGGCTCGGGCAAGACAGCTGCATTTCGTGGTGGAAGGTCATCCGCGCGGAAGTTCAAGAAATCATAAGTGGAAATGCGGTCCCGAAGTATCCATTGCTTCCATTACGGGTGCAGAACTGCTTTCAAACATTGATGCGGCTGCACCATGATGTGGTGGTGTTGCACGAGTGCTTCGATCTGCTCCGCACCCTCCGCCCTGAGGGCTGCACCCCGGCCCTACTGCTGCCCTACATGATGCTAAGCGTCGCGAACGAAGCGGCCCCGCCTTCTACTGTGGTGGATATCCTTAAAATCCACGAGGCGTCTCGTGGAAACCATCGCGAGGGCCCCACCGCCGTTCCGTTGGCGGGTTCACACGCGGATACTGCGAGTTCGGCCCCGTCCAATCCTGCGGCGGTTCCGGCCGATCCGCCGCTGCTAAACAGCGAATCCACCGTCTTTCGGCTGCTATCGAAGTGCCTGAGGTGGGGCGACGCCGACGCGGCGCGTTACGTGTGCGAGTATTTAAAAAACCACCACGCGTTTCGTATTATTGCCGAGGAGCACCAGCCCTTGGTCTCGCTTCTCTACGCCGGGGCGCTGGCTCGTGCGGGGTGTGTGTTGGATTCGTTGGGGGTGCTGGAAGGGGTGCCGCCGCCGCGGAATCGCCCGGGGCGGACGGCGGGGTTTTTCAACGGACGCCGCCGCCTCGTGGCGGATTCCGTCGACGCCGTGGGGGACGTCGTGCGGGCGATCGGCGAGCGAGGGGTGGGGGAGGTCCTGCGGGAGCTGCGCACGGCTGCAGGGGCGGGTCGACGGGTGACCGCCGCTTCGTTGGATCTCCTCCTCGCCGCCTGTGCGATGCGGGATGACGACCGGCTCGGGGAGGGGGTGCTCTCCACCTACCCCTCCTTTGGCGCGGCGCCGAGTTGCTTTACCTACACCGCCCTGCTCTCGTGCTACGCGGCGGAGGGATCGGCCTTTCGCGGGGTGGATCGGCTGCGCTCGGTGAGGCGCGCGATGGCCGACCGCGGTATCCCCGTGGATGACGCCTTTCTGCGGGAAACGATGAGGGTGGCGTTATCCGCGGGGGATTTAGCGTGCGCACTGGTGATCGCCGAGCAACACGCGGAGCTTCAAATCCCAATGGACACGCCGCTGTGCGCGTGCCTTCTGGAGAAGCTCACCGTGGCCGTCGACGTGGATGGCGCACGGCGTGCGCTACGCGCGATGCGCTCCTGTAAGGCGTCGTTAGATACCCGAAGTTTGGCGCTCTGTACAGCTACTTTTGAAAAATGGGGAATCAAATGTGATGACCTAGCAAATCTTTAGGAAGAAGAGGGGGGGGGGAGAGGGAGGGGGGGGGTAGTTTCATATGTCTATAGCATATGTGTCTGCTTTAGTTTCTTCCCCGGGAGATAGAAGTGCCTAGCAGCCGACGGGAAGGCGTGATTCGTCAAATTAGTGGTAAATGGGGGCGCCGAAGGGGCCATAGGTGGCGCTTTCCCTACTTCCATCGGAGGCAAACGGATGAAGAGGCCATTGGCGTAAGGTTGAAATGTGTTCTGCTCTCAACAATTGTTAGTGTAAATTTTTAGTATTTGCATCTACCTGAGCAATGCTATTATATTGATTTTGAAGCAACTGAAACTCTTTGAATTTTGATCTTCTCTTTCCTCTCTTCAAAGTTGATATTAGCCCCTTTAATTGTGTTGTTTTCGTAGGTGTGCAAAACCATTTTTTGTTTCGAGTAAATAAATTCAGAACAAAAAAAGTAAAATTAGGCTTTCCCTGCTTAAAACGAAGGAAATAATTTTCAAAGAAAAATAATCCTAAAGACCAATAATCAAATCATGGCCTCCGCACAGCAGATTGCTAACAGCTTTGTGACCGAGTTCTTTGAGCGTCTGGCAAAGAACCCCGCCAACCTTGCCGATCTCTACGGGAGGAACTCGGTCTTGCACATTCACGATTTCGAAATGGGCATCAAGGAGGTTTCCGATGCGGACGCCTCCGTCGCCGCTCAGGACTGGGCCGCTCTCTACCAGGGCAGCCATATGCGTGTGGAGTCCGTGAGCGCGGCGGCGGTCTACGGTGGCGTGAACGTCTTCGTCACCTTCACCGCGGTGGGGGAGCTGCAGCAGTACTTCCACGTCCTCACCACGTTGGAGGCCCACACGGGGTTCAATGTGGAGGGCTACTACATCCGGCATCAGGTGATCTCCCGCATCGGCGCGATCGCGCTCGAGGCGCCGCCCACCGAGGAGGTGCCTGTCGTGGTGGAGCAGGAGCCCGTGGCGCCGGTCGTGGAGGCCCCCGCGGAGGAGCTGGTCGACAAGACCCCTGTTGAGTCCGACGAGCCGGCGCCTGTGGCCGTGGAGGAGGAGCCGCCGATTCAGAAGGTCGCCGTGGAGAGCACGGTGGGGGATGCCGAGCAGGCCCCCGCCCCAAAAGAGATGCAGTCGAGGAGCTGGGCGAGTTTGCTGGGATCCTCGGCGAAGGGCACTATTGACAGCAGCAAGCCCATCCGTGTGGTGGCAGCCAAGACCGCCGGCGACGATGGTGCAGCGAAGAAGGAGGACGAGGCCCCCGCCGCGAAGTCTTCCCCGAAGGTGCACGTGAAGCGCGAGAAGCGGCCGATGGAGGCCGTTGGAGATCGCCTGATGTTCAACATCGACGTTAAGGTTACGGACGAAGAGATCAAGGCGGCACTTGGCAGCTTAGTGGCCTCTTTGCAGTCCCTCCGCAACAATTCCGCAAATGGTCACGTGTTCATGGACTTCGCACCGGACGTGAAGGCCCTAGAAGAGCTAAAGAAACTCAACCCGGTCATTGGTGCTAATAAGACGAAGATCAATGTCTTTCGTCAGCGCTTTCGTGATTAAGAATTACTAATTAAATTTATTTATGTTTCTTAAGTTCACACTAACGGAGCATTTTTTTAAAAAAGTAAAAAAAAGGAATGCAGGTAACTTATGGAAGTTAACATCAGGTTGGATCAGCCTCACGCACACGCACGCACCCTTCATCATTCGAGAGAGGTATCGAAAGGTCATCTTTTGATTTTATGGTGTTGAAGACCAAGTAGCGCGGGACGCGTGTGTGAAACGGAATTGTTTTATGTAGATGTATGTATATTTCTAGCGTTGCCTGTGATTCCATATAGGGAAACAAATCAGAGTCACTTGTCTCGAAATGCTGGGGAAACTCAAAATGACTGGATTCAGAATTAAATGGTATGTTAATCTGATTTTTTTTTTTGAGATGGAGGAAGAATGTGGGTTGTAGGGATCTTTGGATAAGATAGGAATTTAATCAATTGAGGCGTGAGCGTTTTTGGGTTTTTATTTTTACCTCCATCTCTTTTAGATAATAACTAACTAATATGGTGTAAGTTTTCCTTTTGCTCGTTGATGAACAAGCTTATTTATTTATTTTCACTCTTTTTCCCCTGCACAGGGTCTGAACAGTAATTATGTTTTTCATCTTGCTTCACATGATCGCATCATTTATCGCTTTCTCCATTCAATGGTTCCTTGTGTTTACATAGCTTCCTAGCAGATTTTTTTTTATAAATTCTAGCATACAAATATTATTTACACTACTTATTTTCATTTTTTCTCTCATTATGTCAGTGGAAGTTATCGGAGACACCAGTGCAGCCGCGAAGGCTCTTAAAAAGGTGCACGTGCGCGTACCGGCCACCACTGCTAACCTCGGACCGGCCTATGATACCCTGGGTATGGCAATTTCCATATTTATGGACCTTTTCGTCGAGGTGGCCGACGCGTTCTCGTTCACAATGGAAGGGGAAGGCGAAGAACATATCAGTCGAGGTCTCGACAATATGCTTGTCAAGGCGTGTGAGCTCGCCTTCACGGAGTACGGCAAGCGCCCGATGCCACCCCTCAAGTTTCATGTGGTGAATCGTATCCCGTACTGCTGTGGATGTGGATCGTCGTCGGCAGCCGCGGTTGCTGGCTTCGTGTCTGGATTGCATCTTTGCGGTATTTCTATGGCCACTTACAAACAAGAGGAGTTGCTATCCGTGATCACACGTATAGAAGGACATCCTGACAACGCCGCCCCTGCCATCTACGGTGGCCTTCGTCTTAGCTTCACGGATATCAATAAGCAAGTAGGCTCTCATAGCGTGCCGGTGCCTCCAAATATTTCTCTCGTTCTCTTTATCCCCAACAAGCTCATGAAGGCCAACACACACACCGCTCGTGGTCTGATCCCCACACAGGTACCCCTGGAGGATGCAGTTCACAACGTTTCCAGAGCCTCCTTACTGATCCTAGCGCTTACTTCAGGGCGGTTGCGCATACTGAAGGACTGCTCGGATCGTTTACACGAGCGTCAGCGTGCTGATAAGCTCTACCCTCACTACTTCCCATGCGTTAAGGCCTCCCAAGCGGCAGGCGCCGAATACACCTTTCTCTCCGGGGCTGGTCCTACCGTATGCGCGATGGTGAGTGGAAGACGTGGCGATATTCTCATGCAGCCTCCAGAAGAGCGGCGGGCCGAAGATGTGGCGGAGGCTATGGTGAAAGCGGCTGCTGACTCTGGGGTTCCGGGGCGTGCGATTATCACACGCGTTTCAGACGTCGGTGCCCATTTTGTGGGTTTGAAGGAGCTAAAAGAAAATATACAGTGCATAAATGGTTGAAACTCAATTTCTCTCCTTTTATTGAGGAATCTCATACCTAATCCAATGAATTCTTTTACTCGTAAGTAGTTATTTTGCTTTCTTAAAAGAAGCGGGAATATGTTGTATTAAGTAGGTCAGCCTGCTTCTTAAAGAAATTTTGCTTAGAAACATCTATTTTTTTTACACATATTTTTGCAGATAATCGTAAATGCTACAGTATATAATCATATAATTCTTTGAGAATATCTTCAGTTCTAAATATGATAATCTTTTGTTGAAAGGTGAAGGTGAAGAATATCTTTTTTTTTGAAGCTAGTTCTCCGCCGATAAGTCCACAGGCGAATGAGACTGGAGAACATGGTGACTGGGTTGTGCCATCTTTTGTTAACTAAATTTCGTATTTTCATCATTTCAATTCTCTCTAAAAGTTTCTGATTAAAATAAAGGAAAACCATGAGCGACGATGCACTCGACTCGGAAGAGATTCGCATTCATTCTCCTTCTCTATCTAGTAAAAATTCCAATAATGAGGATTTAGGTGGGTCATGTACGGAGCAGGGAGAGGATCGGTCGGTAGAGTCTGCCAAGAACTCAGATCACTCCTTCCGCATGCGTCGCAAATCATGGGATGAAGCGGAGAGGAAAGAGTGCTGGAGGCAAAAGCGCCTAGAAAGGCGGGCTAAGAAGAGCATTGCGGCTGCTTCACGCAAAGCGGAACAAAACGCAGAGTGGGAGCGGTTGACAGAGGACGAAAAGAATGACCGCCGTGCTTCAGCGATAAAGTTGCATGAAGAACGGCGGCGCGCCAATGAACTCGTTATGGAGGCCACCAAAAAGCGTCTTACCGATCCCGAGCTGCCTGTATTAGTGTTCGACCTCAGCTTCGCTTGGTGCATGACTTTATCCGACACCAAGAGCACGATTTCGCAACTTAAGTTCAGTTATAGCACGCTGCGCCGTGCTGGCTTCCCTTTTCGACCCGTTTTTACTTCCTTGATAGGTAAAGAAAAACAGGATGCTGAACACGATTCCAGCGTGCAAGCAGAGTTGCTTCAGTCCTCTCTCATTGATTTTGAGGGCTTTAATAGGTTTCCGCCCACCATCACACTCGAGCAGCACTGGTCAGAGCTATTCCACAAGGAAAGGATCGTGTTCCTCACCGCTGACGCCGATGAGATTCTTGAAGACATTCAACCAGGCCACGTATACATTGTTGGCGCCTTTGTTGATCACAATCGTTACAAGGCACTAAGCAAGACGTGTGCGCAAGCTCACGGGGTGCGGGTAGCTCGCCTTCCCATCAAAGAGTCCATTGATCTACAAAACCGTTCTGTAGTGCTCACCATAAACCACCTTGTCGAGGTGCTCACGTCATATATGCAGCCGGAGAAGGGCTGCACACGCGACTGGGCTCGTGCCCTTAATACGGTGTTGCCTGTTAGGCGTATACATCAGGAGGCATTGGGTAGCCGCAAGAGGCGACGACAACAGCAAAAAAATGAAATAATCTCTGAAGGGTATTAAAGTCGTGCAGACCTCGAGGGAAACAGCTTTAATCAAACTTCTTCACCAGTTTTCATTTTTTCCTGCTCTCAACGGATCATTGATACGTTCTTTTTGTTTCACTCTGTGTGTGCATCTGGTAATAGGGTCCTGATGATATAATATCATGAATGCGACAAAAAAAATCACTAACAGAAGGATGATGTTGAATGAAACGTTTCACTCATTTATGTTGCATGCATCCTCTTGTTTACTAATAATTACATATTACATCCATTTTGATTTCTTTTAGATCAAACTCTCAAGCTTTCCAAATACTATCTTCAGAAGTCAAATTCAAATATCGCTTAGCATTATTTTTATTATTTTTCTTATCTTGTTTTTTATTATTTTTGTGATTTATTTACCTTTTTTTTTGAATCCCTTTCTAAATTTTACACAGAATTGTATATATAAATACCAAATTTTATATAGTATAGCTATTATTTTCATTGTTCCCTAGCCATATTATTACTTTTACGCTTACTTATTTTATTACTACTATTATTGTGAATATTTAAATTGTTATCACCGACTGAATTTACAGCAATGAGTGAACCCACCAGCCCTTGCAAAGAGACCATGAGGGAGAAGGTCTTGCGGTACGCGGAGGACACTGTCAGGGAGCTCATGCACGAACGTTTGGCTGAGGAAAACGCTAACCGAGTATCCGATGACCCCCTCTCCAAGGACGAACCGAAGGAGAACAAGGAGGCGATGGGGGAAGATGGTGCATCCAAGCCCATTGAGGCGGAAGTCGATAATAACCCTGCGGTATCGCGTTGCCTTGTGTATTGCCGTATGCGCCCCCCGAACAAGTCCGACTTCACAGACAACGGCACTCAGATCGTGAAAATGCAGGATAAGAATCGTGTGGTTGTGAGGGACGAGTGGTACTACGACTATGACGGGACCTTTGATAAAGACAGCTCACAGGAGGATATCTTCCAGGCAATCGCCGTGCCCTGCATCCAGCATGCCTTTAAGGGGTTCTGCTCCGCTTTGATGTGCTACGGACAGACCGGGACGGGCAAGACTTTCACCATGTGCAATACAGACCCTGCCAATGAGGGCGTTATCCCCCGTGCGGCTCGCTACATTTACAACACGATTGAGGAGAAGTCGGCGGCCGATAACCGCTGCTATACTGTCATTGGCCAATTCGTACAGATTTACCGGGATCACCTTGGTGACTTGATGTCCAGCAATGGCAAGGAACGCGTGGAAATTCGTTTTGACGCCGATGAGGGAGTTTCTCTGACAGGTTGCTCCTTGCACACCCTTCGCAACGCGAAGGAGTTCATGCGTTTCTATAACGAAGGAAACTCTCGGCGGGTTGTCATGGCGACTGCGATGAACCCCGAATCCAGCCGCGGCCACACGGCGATGGTGATCTGGATCATGTCAGAATCCCCTGACGATCCGGAGGCGGGCAAGATGAAGGGTAAGATTACCTTTATCGACCTCGCCGGCTATGAGCGCTTCAGCAAGACCGGCATCACCAACTCCAACCCCATCATGAAGGACGAGGCCAAGACCATCAACGCTTCACTTCTCGCTCTTGGCCACGTCGTCAGTGCTCTTTCTTCTGGCGGCAAGCACATCCCTTGGCGAAACTCAAAGCTTACACGTATTTTGCAGGACTCCATCGGCGGCCGCAGTCGTACCTCGATCATTTTAACCGTTGGCCCCAGCAGCAATCACCTCCATGAGACTACGAATACATTGCAGTTCGGCCTGCGTTCAATGGCTGTGAAGGTCTTCACGAAGGTGGCGGTGGCGGTAGACTACCAGAAATTGGCACGTAAGCTTACGGCGATGCTCAACGAGCGTGACGAGCGTATCAATGTACTTGAGCTGCAGATCGCCAGCCGCGATGCGGAACGCCAGGAGTTGATGGTGCGCTATCAGGAGGATCGCACGGCTCTCGAGGAGCGCTTCGCACGGGATCTCGAGCGCCTGACGACGACTGGTGCAAGTGAGGAGCAGATAAGTAAGCTGAAAGAGGTTTACCGTGTCGAAATCCAGAACTTGCAGGAGCAGCAGGCTGAGGAGCTTAACTACCAGGAGGAGATTCATTCGAAGGAGCTTGCGGAGCTCCTCAATGAGCAGAAGCACCGCGAGGCCAAGAACTTGAGCGCAATGAAGATTACTCAGCAGAACCTGATGGAGGAGTTCCAGCGCAAACTTGAAGCGGCCCGTGGAGATAACAATGAGGATCTTGTGAAGACACTCCAGATGCTTTCTGAGAAGGACCAGGCTCTGGCGTCTCGCGCTAACGAAATCGCCCGCTTACATACTCATATCGAGGCTTTGAATGCCCAGCTTGGAGAACTCGGTGTGGAGCCGGTGCGCGAGTTTGATGAATCAGAGTTCCCCGAGTCCTTTATGGATGTTAGCCAGGTGGAGGAAATGAAGAACCGCCTCACTGCCGATGTTGATCGTTTGCATAACAAACTTGTAGATGTTCAAGCGCAGCTTGACCGGATGACTTTGTTATGTGATGACTGCAAGTCCGAGATTCAAGACTTGTCAGATGAAAATCAAAAACTTCGTGAAGAGCTTGAAAAGGTTGGTGCTCAGCCATTAGACTCCGCCAGAGGAACGCGGTCACATCGCGCCAAACGGGATGATCTCATCGACGCCTCCGAACTTGAGTCGCTGCGGCTTCGCATGCAGGCGGATATCGACGAAGCCATTAGCGAGCGCAATGCCCTGAAAAGCGAACTTGAGCACTACAAGGAGCGTTCCAAGGGTTTCGGTTCGACCTGGTCCAAGCAATTTATTTCGACCCAAACAGCCTTGGGTGAAGGTCTTCTGGGCGCCACGATTGGTCAGGATCAGTTGCTTGATAGCACAGTCGCGAATGTTGCCCAGATGAACGAGAAGGGGGTTGGAGCGGTTTCTTCGGTGAATGCATACCGCACGATCATCAAGAAACTTACTCTGCAGCTTTCAGAGAGCCGCCTCCGGGAGGCCACCCTGCAGGACCGTATTCAGTCTTTGCAAGGAGATTCGGCAGCACGCACCGTCACCATTGCCCCATCCCTGACTAACGGTATGACGAAGGGTGAACACTTTGCCGCGACTTTCACAGCGAACTCGAGTGAGACTAAGCACGTCGATTCTGCTGAACGCGACGCAGAGTGGTGGTCGGATCTTTCTTCGTTGGTGCAACGGGAGCGCCCCGATATAGCCTCAATAGTGTTTGCAAAGGAAGCCGAATTGAGGACCCAGGAGGAGCTGATTATGGAACAGGAGAGGCGCATCACCCAACTTTGTGCTGCGCACAAATACAACCAGACATGTATTCAGTCTCTGAAGTCGCAGCTGATGGAGTGTGGGTGCAGCTCTACAGAGCCCCCTGCAGGGCCTCAACCCGTGGAATCCCTCCCGCGTGATGATTACATCGCACTGCTGCGAGAGGTGCGGCATATCAACCGGAAACTAATTATTCGACTGCTCCAGCAAACAGGTAAGTCTGTGAATGGCACGGTCCCTATCAACGGAAACGCCAATGGGACGGCCGCAGACGGCGCGGAATCTGGTGAGTCTGTCAAACTGGAGGAAATCTTAGGGGATAAGGACACTCAGCTAAACAACAAGGACAAGCTTTTGGTGGAGAAATCCACAATGCTGCAGTACATCGCGAAGGTCGGAACGCGACTTATGAACCAGATTGAAAGCCTTGGAGTCGCACCCTGCAGCAGGATCCCTGAGTCCTACGCGGAATTGGCTAAGGGCGAGCTGGCCGAGCTCGAAATGCACGTTCAACAGCAACGAGAACTTGAAGAAAGGTTGAAACGCGAACGTGAGGAAAAGTTGAAGCTGAACAATCTTCTACATGCTTTTAATGCGGAGCGTGAGCACCAGGCCTTGATTATTCGTCAGGTCGAATGCAAAAACAAAGAACTGATGTCGCGCGAAAGCCGTGCAACCCAGGCCATTAAGCAACTGTCAACTGTGAAGACGCAAAGGGAAAAGATGCTCGAGGAGGCTGCCCGTCGTGCGACGCGCGAGCTGGTCGATATGCAGATTCGACTTGCACAGAAGGAGGAGGCACGACGAATTGGTTTCCTGAAGCGCATCTGGGCCCATTTTCCTCTGTAGAAATCTGTCGATGGTGACGGGGTATTTTTTCTTTTAAGAGTTAACATTCTTTTTTTTTTGAAGGGAATATGGATACTGGATGAGCGAAGTACATTTTCGAGCCAATTAATCTATAGTAACTTACATGAGAAATATGTACAACGGTGGAAGACTTGGAACAACTTTATCCTTTTCCTGTTTATGTAAAGATGTGAAGCTTTATTATTCTGTTGATATGGAAAGTTTTTCCTTTTTTGGTTGATTCACCTTATCTCACTGCTCTTTGCACGAGGACAGTTCTTGCGGTGAACCACACTTGCACTCCCAAGTTACAAGTGTCAACCCTAAAACGGAAGGTTTGATAAAAATAATTTAAGGTAAAAATTAATAAATACAGATTATTCTCTTATGTATAGATTCAAGGGCCTTTTTTCTTCTTTTTTTAACGGAAGGAAACAGGAACGGAATTTTTATCGCATAGTGTTAGTTATATAACAAAAGTGTATAAAAAATACGAATATATGCATATATTTATACTTCGATCTTTTTTCCTCAGTTTTAAAATGTCTATCTAGCGGTTTTCTCATTGTCATTGTTCGATCACGATGCAGATACATGTTCCCAAGCGAATATGATGTGTTAATTATAATATAAGCAGGCCGTCAAAAGCCAAGTAATATATATATATATATATATATATATATGATGAAGTAATATTTTTGTTTTCAGGAAAAAAAAGGACGACATACATTTTTTTTAAATACTTACTAACTAATATTTTTTTCTTGTTTAATTAATTAATAAACGTGTTTTTTCTTAATCAGTATGTATCCTATAAAACTAGTCAATGCATTTAAAGGGTTATGACATGTGATTTTGGCCCTAGAGCTTATGTTTTTTTTTAAAATCAACTGTTTCATCCAAGATGTCGTTTTCAAGTATTTAGTCACACATCTATGCACGCATTGCGCACTGAAACCCCACCCGTTATGTCCAGGGAAGGGGCTAGTCTACATCCCAAGTATCAGCGAGGTTGCGAATTGGTATGAACATTTTTATCGTTTCCGTCGCGATGTGCTTTATCCTGATCACGTTATCAGAGATCGATTAGAGCGGCTGATTATGTTTTTTTCAAGCTTTTCTGGAATGCAGTCTTTTTACGATCATCCATGTGGCTCACAGTCGCTTCAAACAGACTCTTCTTTGGCTCCGCTTCCAACTTTTCTTCCTCATCCTCTTTTCCATCGCCGGGTGTACCGAAGCATATACCATTCCCATCATCGTCTAAGTAGGGTGTAGACTACGACGAGTCGTGAGTTTCATGTGTTTTAAATTTTTTGGTTTACCGTGGAAAACGTGTGGAGAGGTTAACGTGTATTAATTTAAACAGAAGCGTGGATCCAAATTTCGGTCAATTCATCCGGCTAACAGTTCTTAGAACTTTCTTTTTATTAAGTTCGTTCAATAAGTTTCTGCATAACCATATTCATTCTTCCACCTTCCTAGATATGCTTTTAAAATCTCAATATTCCCTCACTTGTGATGTTTTTTTTCTATACATTTCCCCTTTCTTTCCAAAGAATTTTTCCTTTTTTCATTTCAAGTTTTTCTTCTGTTTGTGTCTAGAATAATATCAATGATTGAGCCAGTTGTTTTCAGCGGTGATGACAACAAACTTCACAACATTGCCATAGATCCTGATATATTGGGTCCTTTAGGTTTGGGTTTTGAAATGCCTGTCGAAACGTCAAAAGGGGATGGGAGCATTATAGGTGTTGAAGACAACAATGTGTGTGTGTTACTTGACTCAAATAGGACCAAACAACTCATTACGACATTTCCTCTTCACGAGATGGGTGGGTCTGTGCGGTTGTTGCATGGTACATATCCCGAGCATCGTTTAAAGACCGTGCTGTTTCGAGAGCATCGCGCGAAAATTGTAACCCAAAATAGGCAGGGTCCCTGTCCGGTCTTGGCCTTGTTTAATGCCTTGGTATTAAGTAACAGAATGCATCCTTCCTATTATTCCGAGTACAGTATTACGTCGCGTGAGCTCATAAAAAGCCTAGCGAGCTATTTATCCTGCAACGAATCAACTACATTGATGTGCGGCGCTGCCACAGCAGAGGGGCTGTCGCATTCTTTATCAGGCCTGAATGAAGAGGTTCCAGAGATCAGGGGAACGAAGGACAAAGATACACATGAGATCGGCTCTGTGTGGAGGAACACGAATGTAGAAACTACGACGCTGCCAGTTGCACCAGCGTCAACTCTGACCGAGCTTATACGAAATCCTTCAGCTTTGCAGTTAGTCCGGGAGTCCCTCCTGAGGACGCAGGAGCAGGTTGTGTCGCTTCTGAACCGGTTATACAACGGTATGAATATTAACCCCATTTTTACGGACTGCGAGGGCTTTGTTGCCGATAACGACGTGTCGCTTTTCGCGCTAGCTGGACTTCGTTTACTACATGGATGGGTCATCATACCTGAGAGTGTTTATGCCCCTTTGCGGAAGATGTCTTTTAACGAATTAACAACCCTGGTAGCGTGCTCTCCACCGTTGGACCCACTAGTTAATTCCAATCCCGTCAGTTCTCCGTTTTATTTGATTGGGACTTCGACACCCAGCATATCGAAGCACAAGGACATTGCACAACCTATATCACCAAATCACACCTCAACTACTCCAACTCTACACTCACAGGATAAAGGTGACGCCGAGGAGGCCGCCTCCATGGAGGAGAGAGATTCTGACTCTACGTTGGTAAGCTCGAAAGAGTTCTACAATCTTGCGAAGAGCTTTTACGAAGCTACAAATAGTGCTCAGATGACACCAGAGGGTTATGCTGAGCTGGTGAAGGTTGTGAAAGAGGGTGAGGTGGTGGTAATCTTCTGGAGAAATCATTTTTTTTCGTGTGTCAAACTGCAAGATCGTCTATTGGCTCTGTGCTCTGATGAAAGCTTTGCGGATAAGCCATCCATCGTCTTCTCTGTTATTTCACAGGACATGGAGGAAGATGGTTTTACAGACGCCGACGGTGTTGATGTCGATTCCACGATAAGGTATGTTCAGGCTGTTGCGGGAGATCGGTTTTCGGAAACTGTCATTCGTGCTGCGAAGCACAAACTAGCACAACTCCATCCGATGCAGCGGAATGATCCAAAGGCTGTCGCAGACTACTTGTTGGAGGATAGAGAACGTGCAGAAAAGCTTCAAGAAGAATCCAACCATATAAACAACCAACAGCGGCTGCTTTCAACGGATCCCCCAGGAAAAGCTCAGTTGCCACGTCCACGTACTGATTCCACCCCGCCTAACGGCAGCCAGCCTCAGCTCCATCTACCTGCCACCGCCAGTGGGAATGCAACGGTCTCTTCTACTCATACAAGTTCAGTCTATACATCAATGACTTCTATTGTCTCGCGCTTTAGAGATATTTTCCCCCAAGTAACTGAAGAAATGGCAATGGAATACCTTCTGAAGCACGGAGGTAACCTTGAAAGCGCTATCAACTCTTATATGTGCGCGTAGATGATTTGTATTACTTCTTTTTTCTCTCTTGATATGATTCATTGTTCTGTATTTAAGTTTATAATCTCTTTTGGTGTATTTTTAATATCCTGAGCATTTTTTTTCGTTGCTGGTCGACTTCACTTCCATATTTTTTTTTCTAATAAGTAAGTGGGATACTTTAAAAAGTAGTCTAGCCTTTTCATGCCGCGTTGCGTGAGTCATACAACTTAAGGGATGTTTCCAATATTTCTTGTGTACATTGAAGAACCTTGTTGGTTCAATTTTGATTCGAATGCTCGATCTCCTATACCTTGTTTCTCGTCCTTTCTTATTGTTCACACTACAAAGCTTTTTAAAATAACGCTGCCGAATGCCATTTGAACTTCCGCCACTATACGTGAACCCTTCCTTTTCATGGGGACCCCCTGCGACTGAGGTTTCTATTGATGGGCAGCCCTTCCAGCTGCACTTCAAAAAGACCCCTCTGCACGCCGTCGACTGGTTGCCTGGGTTTCAAAAGCACCTTGAGGAGTCTGCCAATGTGAAGCCTGGTGCCGCCTTTCGTGACGTCATCGAGAAAAATGAGAGGAAGAAGTTCGACAAACCCGACAACAAGAACAGGAAGGCGACCAATTACAACTATTCCCAATCGAAGCAGCGTCGTACCTATGAACGTGGACGGAAAATCGTGGAGCTTCCTAACACGGTTCCTATTCTTGGTGAGACAGCAATATATGCTGAATTCCTGCAGCACGAAATGCTTAAGTACGAACACCCTCCTCTACCCAAGGTTGAAGACCTTTTGTCTTGTGGTCACCCTTTTGTGAACGATAACGCCATTAACAGCGCTAGCTGTGCACGCCCGCGTCCTCTCGACGAAAGCGCCTATTCGGCGGCTTACTTTGAGCGGCCCGACGTTTTGGATCCACACATGAAGCAGCTCATTCATGAGAACGCCGGTAAGGTCCCACTGTTTGTCACCACGGACGAGGTGCTTTCCTTGATCATGTCTTCTTATTTCTCCATCCACCCGTGGCATGTGACCGTGTCGAGCCCCTCGCGTTCCCTTAAGTTATTTGTGCTTGAAAAGGATGTGGACAGCAATGTGGATCGGCAATGGGTTAGCGAGACAGCCCCTAAGGATGTGGCCCCAACGGAAGATGACGACATAATCTCAGAGCGCATTTCATCTCTTGGGGAGGAATCCACAAGAGTGCATAACTGCTTCATTAAGCAGTCTTGTCTGCGCTCCCGTGGCACGGTCAGGCTCAGCGACAGAGTAGTCAAGAGCACGTTCACCGATGTTCATCCTCGCTTCTATCGTTACCGCCGCTTCATGATGAACGTAGACACACCATCGAAGCGCTACGACATCATCGTTCGCTGCGAGGTCGATGCTGTGGAGCGCGACAACAGCTTGGTTCGACTCTTCGGTTTGTTGGAGCAGTGTCGGCCAGGGTCGACAAGTGTTTGGCGCAAGGAGTTGGACTCGAACAAAGCTTCTGCCCTGCCCATGTCGTACAGCACCAACAAGGCTAAGATAACCCGCTGGATCGCGCTATCGCACCTTTCTAGTGTTAATTTTATGAAGATTGGTCTTGTGGCCCGCACGGAAAAGGATAATCGTATCGATCCTGAGCATCATGAAATTGTATCCGTTCAATCTGAGGTTCCCTTAGTATTGGCCTCACATCTGGGCGTGCGGGTGCAATCAATGTGGGCAGTGGTGGATACTATTATGCAGAAAATCATGGAGGATCGAACTAATGATGGGGATATGGTCCTGGTGAAACCAAGTGGTAGCTACAAGATCCTTCTTGCTGAAAAACAGGATGATGACGACGATGATGAAGAGGAGGAGGAGGAGGAGGAGGAAGAGGAGCAGACAGAAGAAGAGGACGACTAGGTCTATCGGTTTTCAAACGTTTACTCTACTCTGAGCAACTCTACGTATAAACGAGCAAAGTGTGTGTGTAGTTTTGTAAGTAAATCCTCTGAATATCTTTGGATGCATCTAAATTTGACCTAACACTTAATTTTAAAGCACTAAAATATTATTCTGTGAGAGACTTTTGGATAAGAATAAAGGAGTTACATCGGCATTCTGACAGTCGCTTTGGATATATTGTGGATGCAAAAGACGATGCTATGGTTTGAACTAGCCTTAGGATGTCAATTTTAGAGCCACTATCTTTTCTCTTTCTGAGTCTTTTTTTTCCACAAAACGCCTTTCAGATGTATTATTTTGAGGCTTCAGGATATATTTTCACAAACCCTTTATCGACTTATTTATTGAAGCGACTCTTCGGCCTTTAGGACAGCCAGTCTTGGATAGACGAATCGGTACTGGAATACGTGAAAACATGCACCAGGATGAACTCTATCAGGATTTCCCCTTCGCTATCCGGTGTGAAAGCAGTGACACAGTGGTATTCGTCCCCTTTCCACGAGGCGCACGCTATGGGGATGTGCGGAAGACCCTGGCTGGGCTTCTAGAACGGCCCTTTCTCACAACTAGTATCGCTCCATACCCGGCAGATGGCCCACGGAGTATTGCTCCAGGCACTGTGCTGACTCCTTTTGTTGACAGTGATGTGATAGTGGTAGATGACGGACCCATTTTGCGTGCCCACATTCTAACCCCAAATGGCTCCGGTGAATGGGTAACAGAGTAGCATGCCTGTGTGCGAGAGGAGCTTAAAGAGCTGCTACAATATAGCTCGTTCAGCCTGCGCAGACATTTCCTGCGAGCATTTCTTCATGTCCGTGGCTTTGTTTGAAAATAACAGAAAAATAGTGGCATTAAGAAAGTGCTGTGAATCAGCATCACCAAATAATGTGACGTAATTACGAGCGCGCACGAGAACATGTAGGCTTCCAAGATGGCATTTGTATAGACTCCCTTTTTTCCTCGTCTTGTATTGGATCTTCATTTTAATTTCAACACTTAGATCAAGTTAAGTATTAATTTTTTTTAAGATTTTGTTTTCACGGGAATGGAAAACGCAGCCCCTTCCCGGTACAGCGTTTCGGAGCTGAAACAGGAAGATGTCCCTGGGGGTGCCTGTTGTGCGGCCGAGACTGTCTTCGCGACACTATTTCCAAGCTACTTGGAAAGCTATATCAAAGAGGTGTGGCCCGCCGTTGAGGAGGTGCTGGCGCAGCACCAATTAGTTGGAAAAATTGACCTCTTGGAGGGTAGTATGTCTGTGGCGACTACTCGTCGAACGTGGGATCCGTACGCGATTGTTAAGGCTCGTGATTTTATCAAGCTTCTGGCACGTAACGTGCCGCTAGCAAAAGCTCAGAAGATTTTTCAGAGCGATATTTTTTGTGATATTATAAGTATTGGCATGAAAGGGGCTAGCACACGCCAGTTTGTGAAGCGTAGGGACCGACTTATTGGGCCGAAGGCTCAAACCCTTAAGGCGCTGGAAATCTTAACAGGCTGCTATGTGCTAGTGCAGGGTAAGACTGTCACGGCCATGGGCCCGGTGAAAGGGACTCAGATGGTACGCAAAATAGTCGAGGACTGCATGAACAACATTCATCCCATCTACGGCCTCAAGCAACTCCTCATCAAACGAGAGCTAGGCAAGCGAGAAGACATGAAACACGAGGATTGGTCACGTTTCATCCCAGTTTATAAGAAGACCTTACCAAACAAGGAGAAGTTAAAGGCTGTGCGTAAGATCAAGAAAGAACGACTCAAGGAGGCCCAGAAGAAGGCGTCCGGAAAGGAAAAGTCTATTTTCCCTCCTGCTCCTCCGAAGCGTTTGGAGGACATAGCTATGGAAAGCGGCAAGGCCTTTTTATTAAAGCGTCAGCGTAAACCCAGAGACGATTATGAGCTACAACCGAATGCTTCTGAAAGCAGAAAGCGATCCAAGAAGGAATGAGATGAATTGTCTCTCTAGTGGGTCTTACCGCTGTTTATGGTAAAGTGAAGCCAAAAAGAGGTTGGATCGTGATTCGCTTCTTCCAAGCCGCAGATAAGCAAGGTGGTGATTGCCTTTGTACATTAATTTAGTTTTTATTAACCATAAAGTGACTGGATCGCATGAAATGGAGGAAGTGCCATGGTGGGAATAAGTACACAACATCGAATAACGACGACTAAAATGCCCTAATGAATGATAGGAATGAATATTAGTACGGAAAAAATCATAAACCTATCGATCTATCTATATCTATAAATGTATATGTATAGAAATAATGCGTCCTTTCAATACGGAAAGCATTATATTTCTTGCCATGGTTTGAGATTTTTATGCTGATTTGACCTATTAACATTCTCTATTTTCTCCAATAAAGGTGTGTCTCTATTTCAGCTGCAGTCAGACCGCGTCATTTCATCCCATTCCACCCATAAAAACTATAGGCTAGCTTTGCTTGTATTGCTCTTGATTCCGAGTTAGGTTCATTTATTTTGGATCCTACCGGACTCTGATTTTTTTTATTTCTCAATGAGTTTAACATTTCCAAATACATCGACAGAGAAGCTTCCTAAATTCGACTGGCTTCGCTACTTGGGGTATCGTGTAAGCCTTGGATTAGATGATGGAAGCACTTTATCAGGACGCCTTGTGTCTCTTAGTCCCTGCGGAAACGTAATACTCACCCACGCAGAGCGGGAAAGGCCATTTCAGCAAAGAAAAAAGCGCTCACGCGATGAATCAGTTCGCCGTGAGTGTTACTCCTCCGTTTTGTTCGTTCGCGGGGATTCAGTGGTGACGCTGCAGTACAACAGCAGTCTGACTAATGATAGTTCTGTTGTGGATCATCTAGGAGCATTCGAAGAGAGCAAACTAAGGACTATCCAAATAGCAAACACGGCACCCGGCGTCCCCTTCTCAAGGCACTAAATATATTCGACGGAATGGTAGGGGGAAGGTCGAGATTTCATTTAAAGGCAGTAGTGCTGTTTTTCCTGTGGTTCTCCTTTACCCTTGGAGGTTTTGCATTGCGCCTTTCCTTACCAAAGAAAGGTAACTAGTGCTGAGTGATAGATCCAGCAGAATAGTGCGGGTCATTGCCCTTTTAAGGTTTCGCTTCTGGGTTGTGTCAGTTTTTTATTCACATTATAATAGAGCTTTGCTTGCATCCTTTGATTTCGTTTGCTATTTTAAAAATCGGACTTGGTAGAAGTCTGCACGTAAACGATTTCAAGCCTCTTTACGAAAAGAGCGGTGACGCGTTGATCTTACCGCTACGCGGAAAAGTAGTGCATAGTATATTTCAAAGAACTAAATCAAGTTGCAATTCTCACAGAGCTACCTATAAGAGTGGAGGAGGTTGCAACACGCACAAGGAGGACGACGTCAGAGGTGAGGGGCTGAGCGGTTAACAGAGCAACAGAATCAATGTAAAATGCTTCACACGGGAGTCTTAATAAGTGGTGGAAAGCGGGCAAGTTTTTTCTCGTTAGGCCCCTTTGCCCAAACCGCATCATATTTTATGGTGCTCTATGCTGCATGAATCTAATCCTGATTGCGACAATGAGTGCGATTGACACACTCCCTTACTGTCAACAACCAGAATTTCTGCAGAATCTCTGTCTTTCTTGCACCACTGATTACGACATCCCGACAAGGCGCTTGCCTATGTGAAGTCAATGACACTACTGCAGCCTCCCCACATATACTTAAAGTACGACCATGGTCGTGGCTACTGCTGATGGGCAAGATTGGAACATGGAGTTACGGATTGCACTGTGATAAATAAGTTGAAATAATCTTAGCGTGGGTATCAGATGCGTATATGTATTTCAAAATGTGAGCTCCTGCTGTGAGTGTATTAGGGACTACTCTGCGTACTTTTGAGCAAAGACTCAACATTGACTTGGTCGTGCTGATTAACTGCACATGCTGTCTATCACGCCGAGTTTACCACTCATCGTCTGTTCTAGACGAAAAGTACTGGAAAAAATTTCCACAATAGCTGCACGCTGTCTGTTTATGCCGTTTTTTTATCAAAATGCATGAAGCATAACACCACAGTTAATGATTTTCGTTTTTTCTCGACAACCTCAGGCCAAGTTGTCTTTACTGGAATCCAAGGCTTAACATGGGCCAATCCTGATCCGGCAAGTCTAACCTTGTAGTACTTTGAAGGGAATCACTATTAGGCATTTCAGTCGGTAGTTCCATACAAATGCCTTTGAGCGCCATCTCAGAGAGGGGGGTCAAGGCAGCGCGCACGGCTTGAATCGTCATTACAACGTCAGCCGGCTCACATCTTAGAGAAGATCACGAACCACTACTTTTTCCCCACAAAATGCACTTATTTTAGCAAGAAGCCTATCATAAATTCATCCGTTGCCTGAAGTTAGATTACTCCAGGATAAAATAAAGTCATGAAAGCATATTTATTCGGATAAATTTCAATCAGCAGAAAAGTAATGATTATTTTTCTCTGATCTCATTATTTTGTACCTCATGCAACTGATTGCTTGAAGCATGTAAATGTGCAAGAATCCTTAACATGTGAGTATCAAAAATTCAACAGGAAACAGCTTGTATCTTCATAAAGGTCTCTTCGCAGAAGCTTAAGATAAAGTACACCATCATATACGGAAGAACAGACGAGCTCACATTCATTTCTAAATTGTAGATTACTTCAACACCAAAGGATGCTTCCACCTGCCCGTCCTAAAAGGACTTCTAGAGGTAGTATTTATGAGTCTAAATCTCAAGATGCCAGTCCAGACGTACCATTGCCTCCCACATGCAGAGGGATGGTTCCTAAGGGGAGGCGGGGCGAACTGAGCGAAAACGCAAGTTCAGAGGATGACATTGCACTAGCATTTCAGGAACCGTGTTCCTTCTCACCCTCAATCTCGTTGACACCCTCTCAGCAGCATCCTTTAGGTGAATGTGCCGAAAGGCAGCTACGGTCTAAAGAGCGGCCTAGCATTCACCCATTTCACGAGTCTCATTATGGGCTGCTTACTCTTGCCGCCACCGTCGCGATGCAGTCTGCAGACTCTCAGATCGCAGGAGCACTTTTGGAGGGCATTTTAAGCACCTTGGTTGCGGTGGCAGCGACAATAGAAGATGGGAGAGTCAAGGATACCGATGAGGCCGGTCATCTTGTCTGTCAGGACGTACAGGCGGCTGGAGATGTGCCGCTTTACACTTGTTACCCAGAACTAAAAGCTCTACGAGAGATTAACAATGTGCGGAAGGCGCTGTATAGCCTGCAGACATGTCCACCACACGCTCGGGTCACATTTTATTACTTATTAGAATATCATATTCGTGGACTTTATGAAGTTATTCCCGACCCTTTATTCGAAGCCTTTTTCGCTGTTTTGAGTTGCACTCTAAAACATCACACTTCTTTCATAACGAAAAGTCGAATGCGGTTGTTCGAGGTACAACTTCTCAAGACGGTAGAGGCTGTACAGACAGAGATTTTGAAGAGAACAAAGATGCTTACTGAGAGAGCTACCATTATCACACTACGCTTTAGACACACTATTCCCTATGCTTCTTAGTCTTTGCAAACAAACAAATCAAGAAAGAATTTATACTTTCAGGGGGAGTCGATTCTCGAGATCCAATGCACCTTTGCTGCTGATAGAAGTACTATATACTTTTATGCATATGAATTCATTCAGTTTATTTACAGTGTCAGCATCACAGTCAAGTATAATAGCTGTGTTGTTTAAGCGAATGAAATAGCGCCCTTAGTGATATCTTATGCTCCTTTTCATTTCTAAATAGCTTTACTTTCAGTTAATCGTTCTTAAATAATTAAAGTCAAATAAAAGTTAATATACTTTTTTACTCGGTTTATTTTTTAAAATGATAGGCGTAGTTGGTTTTTTTTTGGTGTTTTTATTTGGCTTGATGCTTATCGACCTCGTCCCTCTGCAGGAAACGATGGTCTGTAAGAACTATAAAAACACAACGGATTGCCCAGAGCGCTACTTTTCGATGGACTATCAGAGCGCACGGGAAAAGTTCTTAAAAGCGGCTAGGGCGGTTAATGCCGAAACTAAAAGTCACATCGTTTTCACTCGAGATGATATGCGCTATTTCACGGACTCCGCTTTCTTGAAGGGAGAGATATCAGACAAGTTGCTAGTTCACGTATGTGGGATTCGCGGCGTGGAGGGCTATATTGGGAGCGCCATTCAGAACAAAATACTGGAAGATTGGAGCAAATCTTCTTCGGGTCGTCCATCTGTTCTTTTCATTCATGCCGTTAACCCCTATGGCATGGCACACAATCGACTCCTTAACGAAGAGGCAGTCGATCTTAATCATAATTACATCTTGGAGGAGGAATGGGATGAAATTAAGCATCAGAATTCGGATACAGAGGATTACATTATTCTAAAACAGCTACAATCAGCAACCACAGCACCACGGCTAATTGATCGATATCTTTTCTTCTTACATCTTATCAAGATAGTCGTAAAGTATGGGTGGAGTCCTCTTAAAAAGTCCATTATCACAGGACAGCATCAAGATCCTAACGTCATCTTTTACGGTGGAAATAATGTACAATCCAGCATACGCATTCTCCAAGAGCTAATGCAAACATATTCTAAAGGAGTAACAGAAGCAATATTCATGAATATACAAACAGGTACAGGATCCAATAGAAAAAAGACCATATTAGTGCATAACAAGAATCAGGAAGAAATCATTAAAGAAATCTTCAAAAAGGAACAGGTTCAGAGCGTTGGGCTTCCTGCGGATGCGATGAGCGGTGGGCACGGTCGCGCCGCGGGTGCAATTCGACTGGCCCTGGGGCTTGCACCCAAGACGCTGATTGTCACCGAGGAGTTCGGCACCAGCAGCCCGTTGTCAGCCACTCGAGCTGTTGCGTTGGAGGGCGCAGCCTATCACGCCTGCCCTGGGTCATATGTCCACCACGTCATGGGTACGTGGCTACGGGAAGCATTCTATCCACAGGAGACGAAGTACAAAAAAATGGTACTGTCGAGCGGTATTCACGCGTTTGAAGATGCCGTTCATTACCTCTCAAATGCAGCTTCTTAACGCCCTCCCCCCGCTCTCTCTCTCTTTTTTTTTTTTACTCTTTCGTTCTGCATGCCTATGGTGCCTGTGATGTATGGTAGAGAGTAAAACGGTTCATGTCGATGGGATCACAGACTTTGGTTGTGGGGAATGGAGTTTGTAGGGAAGGGAATTTGTGCTTACAATTTACCGATCTGGTTCGCTTCTAAATCTCTATTCTCGCTATTCACGAAGCTTTTCTTTCTTTTGCGAATCATCTCTATTCAACAGCATAACTCGAATTTACAAATAACTTCAAATCGATACCATTATGGCTCCCATCAAGGTTGGAATTAACGGCTTCGGTCGTATTGGCCGCATGGTCTTCCAGGCGATCTGCGAGGGAAACCATCTCGGCACTGACATCGACGTGGTTGCGGTTGCGGATATGAGCACAGACGCCGAGTACTTCTCCTACCAGATGCGGTACGACTCCGTGCACGGCAAGCCGCGCTCCTATGGCGTCGAGGTGGCGAAGAGCAACCCGTCTGTGGAGAAGCCGGATGTGCTCGTGGTGAACGGCCACCGCATCCAGTGTGTGAAGGCAGCCCGCAACCCCGCTGATCTGCCGTGGGGTAAGCTTGGCGTGGAGTACGTGATCGAGTCCACCGGGCTCTTCACGAAGAAGACCCAGGCTGAGGGTCACATCAAGGGAGGGGCCAAGAAGGTGGTCATCAGCGCTCCCGCATCTGGCGGTGTCAAGACGATCGTGATGGGCGTGAACGAGAAGGAGTATGACCCGTCGTCTCACCACATCGTGTCGAACGCGTCGTGCACGACCAACTGCCTCGCGCCCCTGGTTCACGTTCTGACGAAGGAGGGCTTCGGGCTGGAGACTGGTCTGATGACCACGATCCACTCGTACACGGCGACCCAGAAGACTGTGGACGGCGTGTCGATGAAGGACTGGCGTGGTGGCCGCGCTGCCGCGATCAACATCATCCCCAGCACGACTGGTGCGGCCAAGGCTGTGGGCGAGGTGATCCCCACGACCAAGGGCAAGTTGACGGGCATGGCCTTCCGCGTCCCGACACCCGACGTGTCGGTGGTGGACTTGACTTTCACGGCCACCCGCGACACATCGATCAAGGAGATCGACGCCGCGCTGAAGAAGGCCTCGGTGACGTACATGAAGGGCATCCTCAGCTTTACCGACGAGGAGTTGGTGAGCACAGACTTTATCAACGACAACCACAGCTCCATCTACGACTCCAAGGCGACGCTCCAGAACAACCTGCCCAACGAGAAGCGCTTCTTCAAGCTGGTGTCCTGGTACGATAACGAATGGGGCTACTCCCACCGTGTTGTGGATCTAATTATCTACATGGCTAAGAGGGACCGTGCCTCCGCCAAGCTATAATGCGTTCCCGACACACCATCTCTTCAAAATAAGTACTATAGGGTGGGCGTGCGTAAAATTTTATTAAGCGCTTTTTTGGGACAAAAGTTTTATAAAAATATAATGAAGCGCCTCTATTGAATGCTCTTAGCAACAAAAAGGAAATCTGAAATTATATATCTTGATCTATTATAAGTATTATAATTTAATAATATTATTACTACTACTACTACTAGCACTATGATCTTTCAAATTTTTCAGTTTGTAAACATCAATGACTTTTTCGATCAGTGTTGAAGTACCATGTGGAAGCAGGACCAGACACAATCCTCTTGAAGTCACAGGTTTATTACACCTGAGCAAGTGTTGCTTTTCTTCTCATGCTTCTCTTTTAGTGAAGCAATACCAGCAAGGATTGAAAGTTGATACACCCATACCCACATACCATGATGCTATAGAGAAGGCGCATGTCGACGTGTGCTCGCTCTTCTTTTTTCAAGTTTTCTTTCTGTTTATTTACTCACTTTTTTTAATTTTTTATTTTTTATGTAATTGTTTGTTAATTTATTTTTTTTCCTTTGTTTTTTTTTATAAGGCTCTTGGTTAGTATTCTCTATATCTATATCTATATATTTATATATATATATATTAGGATAGGTTTGAAGACCGTTAGGTAGCTTAGAAAGTTCTGGCATCATGATGCGTAAATCGTTATCGTTGCTTTGGACTTATTCTGATAATAGGGGCTATTATAGTCCTCCTGTTTATATGCCTTTGGAGTATGCCATGCGCGTCACGAATCCAAAGCAGCTAAAGTTTACTCATCCTAGGGACCCTAAGTTCACTTATAATACGCATATTGATGAGCTTTCTTCACTTCATCCTGGTTTGCTCGGCCCTGGTAGAAAATCGCCCCAGGTAAATTATTCTAATCGCGGTGGAATTTTGTGCGAAATCCCGCCTGTGCCGGTTTATCGCGAGCACATTTGGTGTATGGGTCATGCCCACTTCACTTTACAACATCCGCGCATTTTTATTAAATGCCTTAGAGGAAAGGTAACAACCTGCAAGTGGTGTCATCTAAAGTTTATTAACATGTCCACTGATGATGATAACGACGAGGATTGGTATGAGGAGGAACAAAGGATTGCTACAATGCCCGAACTAGAGAAAGACCTACGCCAACCAATTAGGGATCTTGGTGGGGTGTTGCGCCGGAATCCTTTTCAAGACAATAAAGAGCCGGATCCTTATGTATATCGTACAGTGTTCAATCCAGATCAATACCGATGGAAGCAAACTCATAATAGACATTACGAAGTCCATCCGGCCTATGCTAAAAAGGGTGAAAGTAATAAGACCCATTAGTATTATCAGGGATTCTGTAGACATTTTTTTTCCGACATATAGCATATAGTTTAGCATTTAGGAAGTACGGGTACACAGTGTAGTAGTGACAAAGAGTGGTGGCTCTTTTTTTCGTTGACTTTTCCTTTTATTTGAGTTCCATATCTGTATTTGCTTATTTTGATTCAACCGACGATTCCATTGTTGTTCTCTCGTAAAGCTTCTGTGTTGGGATTGTTTTCTTTTCCAACAGGCATAAAACATTATTTTTTACGTGTTCGATTTCCGTTTTTCTATTTCTATTTAAATATTAATAGAGTTCAGAATGATTTTCGTTTCAACAAGGTTTATTTTATTGCTGATTTCTGAATATTCGTTAAAATAGTACGCGACACAACACAAATTAAAATGGGATAATACTTTCCACAAGCATCTCATCGTTGACTCTAAAGTTTGTGTAGGGAGTAAGTGGGTTCATGTCAGCACTTTTCGAGAGGTCTCCTATGATTTGCTCTTTAGCCTTAAAGAAAAAGGCTGTGCAACGTTTTGTATTTCTTCACGTACCTCATTTCTGGCCCACAAGTTACCTTTTGCAGATCAATAACCCACGTATAACATTCTTAGGAGCGTCATGTGGTATAATGAACCCTTGTGCTGAGGGGGCACAGGAAGGCTATCTAGGTGTAATGTATGGCATTACCGCAGTCTTCCAGGTTTAAAGATGTGTGATATCCAGCAAATTATCTCCAATTTTGGCAAACCCACGTGTTTTCTTGGTGAGATTTGTATTCCTGAAGTGGCCGGGTACAATTCGACCGTGTAGGAAGTGTGAGATAATGTAGAAGTGGAACAAAGGATACTATATGACACATTTCTGATTTTATCCCCTTGGATTACTTTTATAACCTTCCTATCCGAGAACTCATGAAACCCATGACATTTCAAGTATGAACTTGAAGCCATCAATTTAAGGGTATACTATGGTGAAAGATAGTGATACGCAGAACCTGCGGTCAACATTGTAGTGGATAAAGGTGAAACTTAAAAAGTTTATAGCCCTCATGAGAAGTAATATCCACTTTCGAAAGAAAAAAACTTCTTTTGTAATGTACACACATGACATTTTGCGCAGCGTATTTGCCTGGTTTATTCGTTAACGAGACTTATGCATTGTCAAGGCAATATATACAGCTTTTTCTCCGAGCTCGCGGAACGCTTAGTTCATTGTCTCTCTGTAGATTCTTGCGCAATGTCAATCTTAATCGAACGATGTAGGAATGATCATTGGTTGACTCATGTGGATGATATGGATAACCCTCCATGGCATCACGCGGTATTCTCCTTGTCTAGTGCTTACCTGAGCTTTCACACAGCTAAAATTCGAATGGTATGTTGGAAGTCCTTCCAACAGGATCATAATTTCTGGTTATCACTGTATGGGAGTGGGGAGCCTGCGCAGGGGGGTCCACGCAGAAAAAAAATTTTCCGCCACTCAAACTATCCAATTGTACGCATTCCCACTCTTGTAACGTCCCTGCTGATAGTCGCACAGGGAGGACTGGGGGCCGAGGAATCAGTGTCAGAAATATTTGAACCCTTAGAAATAAAGTATTTAACTATGCGCTTCAATATGGGCACATCCATTGCGTGAAAGACAGCTCTAAATGAAACCTGAACTTTATGCCTAGGGCGGACAATCTCACTCGTTATAGCATCTGGGAACCCTTACGATAGCTATGGTTTTCAGCCCCTATTCACGTAAATTTCAGATCTCCACTGATGTATCTTGGAGTCGTATCTACGTCTGTGTATCAATGCTGAGAGTAGCCCGAAGACTACGTTTGTTAAGCGCGATGGTATCACTTTCCTCCAGGGTGGAGCCCAAAAGTTATCGATCAAGATACAGCAAGAACATCGTACTTTCTAACATTCATGGAGATGAACTTCACTAAAGATGTGGAGATGTATGGGATTGGGTTTCATGGATCTATTTACTTGTGTCATGCTAATTATTATGCCTCGTCAAGACCTTTTGTTTCGAGAATCATATCCTTTATCGGGGGTCATTATATGTTCGTTTTAATTGTTTCTATCTCATTTTTTTCCAAAAGTGGCAAATTCTATGCGGAAATACGGATGAATCATAGGATAGCGCTTGGCAGCTTTGGCAGTGATTAACTATGTAGAGTAGATGTGTTTACCAAAAAGGTTATTCGCATGACGTAGAAGCAAAGACACATTTAAGTTTACCATCCTAACATTTATGTTTTTCGTTTATTTTCTCCCTCCTATTTGTATAGTCTTCCACTGTACAAACGAGACTTACAAATAGTGAGGATTGATGTAGTTTATTAACAAAATTGTTCACCCTTTAGTGTGTTGTTGTTTATAATCGCCTTAATTAGTCCGAAAGCTTATCACTTCCCTAATATGATTAAGGATAATTCCTACTTACGATCGTGGAATAAAGCGAGCAGCAAAGGTATTGCTATTGACAACGAATATATGCACGTGCATTCAAGTATTGAAGTTTTTCTTTATTACAAATTATACCCATTATGAAAATATAGACCTGACTTTTACCGAGTTTGTGGGTTAGACCCACCTGTTCCTTAAGGAATGCATACATATGTCTAATATTGCTCTTACGCAAGTTGTAGCAACTCTATTTTTTCTGCTGATTTATGCACACAATACTTTATAATTATTGTTAACTGGAATCTGGAGTGTTATTTAACGTAAATAATAATCTTTTCAGTGGAACATATACTTTTGCTCATTATTTTCTCCTATTGCGCATATTTTTTGAATGGAGGATGGTTAATTTTTCACTTCAGTGGCTTGGGGGATGAAAAGCAACAATTTTTTTCTCTATCGTTTCATTTCTTCGTTCTATTAACATTAGTAATTCAATGAAGGTACGAAACTAATCATTTGAGGAAACTAAATAGTGTGTGAAGCGCATTTTTGTAGTTTTGCTTTCATAAATATACTTTACCAAGGGCTTCATCAGTAGTGTTAGCATTTCACGTTTCAGTATTTTGTGTGTCATAACTTCCATGCGTATTACCTCATTTATTCGTTTTGGTCTCATAGCGGTTGGCGTAACTGGTGCCGTCACTGGCATTAACTATATCTACGGGATCTATTTTTCGGACGCTCGTGACAAAAACAACGATCTGGTTCACCTAGCTGCCATCAGCCTATCAAGTGAGGTGGTCAATCGAACTCTTTCTGATTCGGATTTTCGCCGTACCTTATCTCAATTTGGTATAAAATTGCTGCAGCACAAGGATACGTTGAGGGCCCTCAAAACCTTTGCCATCACAGAGTTTACCCAGGACACACCTACCAGGGCGGCCCTAAGGAGTTTTGCTGTCAATGATATTATTCGTGATCCTTGGGTAAAGGAGGAGCTCATTGATCTGGTTAAAGATACTGCGACCGATATCAAGGAGGACCCCGAGATATTCCGCAACAGGTTTTTGTCATGTCTGCGTGAATGCTCTGTTGATTCCATATACTCGCCTCCCCTTAAAAGGAAAATAATAGATAAGATTACAGGAGCGGCATGGGAGGCGTTGATGGGGCCTCCATCGATTGGCGCTGAGTACATTCATTTCTAGCAAATGTATGTTTGCGTCGATTCTTTAGTTTTCTAGGGGTGTTCAGATTTGTAGTTCCACGATTTTAGTGTGCGCATTCACCTAATGAATCGGAGATTAACATATTGTACAGTATAAGTGCTATAGATAAACTCGTAAAATATAGCTTACACACTAACCAAATAAAGACCCAGTCTTTGAATGGATAGATTTCACCCAAGATTAAACAGAAATTGTATTTTGCTTTTCTACAGTTTCTGGTCTGTATTGATATGCGCATTTTCGTACCTTTTTGGTTTATCTAATCACTTTGACACCCCCCTCCCTTCTTTACCTCTGACTAGTGGTGTATTAGGCTCGTTAAGTGATTTGTATATTTCTAGCAATGCCCAGCAGCAAACCCAGCGATTTTGGTGATACGGCGAATACTGTGCAGCTTGTAGCGGCTCAGCGCGGTCGAAAAGTGTATCGCGTCCGCGGTCAGTACTTTGACATTGAAGACACTTATACAATCACTTCTGTTATTGGGCATGGAGCCTATGGTGTAGTCTGCGCTGCGTTGGATGATCGGACCTTTCAAGAAGTCGCTATTAAACACGTCAGTCATGTATTTGAAGATTTGGTAGACGGCCGACGCATTTGGCGCGAGGTGTTACTTCTCCGTCTTTTAAATGAAAGGGGCTGTCGCAATATTTTAAAGTTAATTCGTGTTTTGCCATCGAAAGGCAACGATATGGAGTTTAATGATTTGTACATAATCACTGATCTTTATGACATTGATTTTCATTCAATTATTAGGCAGCGCAAGCCGATATCACTCGATGTGTTGCGTAAAGTGACCGTGCATGTTTTGCGTTGCTTAGCGGATATGCACTCTATGGGTGTGGTTCATCGTGATATTAAACCTAGCAACATTCTGTTGAAGATGGATAAGGATCTTGAGAACGCCGTTGTGTGTGACTTTGGTCTCGCAAGAGGAGGCCTACACCAGCTCAAGGAGCCGATTCACTTGACTGACTACGTCGTAACGCGGTGGTATCGGGCACCGGAGGTGCTGCTCATGGCTCATTACGGCTTCCCAGTCGATGTTTGGGCGCTGGGCTGCGTTATGGCGGAGTATGTCATGCAGCGCCCGCTCTTCGATGGTCGTGATTATATTCATCAGATGCAGCTCGTTCTTTCGACTGTTCCAATCACTGGAACCGACTTTATCAAGCACGATTCTGATACCACAATCGCGCACCTCCTAGAAGTAGCGAAAAGATATGGGAACACTCGCCCACTAGACAGGCTATTGGTGTCTATTCCGAAGGATGGACTCAATCTTATCACAAAAATGCTTGCCTTCGAACCCCAAAAGCGCATAACTGCACAGGAGGCGTTGAAGCATTCCTTTTTAGAATCTGTAGAAGGCTCAGACTGTGAGAAGCTCCCTTCACCCCCTGAGGTAGACCTTGACTTTGACATGCACACGGATATATCAGAGTTTAGGCTTCGCTATGCGTTATGTAGGGAAATTCAATACTATGAGTAATGACATAAGTTTTTTGGTATAAAACATACCATGAGGCTAAGTCGAAGGTGTGTAAGTGGTGGCGCTCATTCGTTTGAATCAGATCGAGAAATCGATGCCTCGATTTTTCTCACACCCACAAATGAAAATGGGTGATGTAGAGGGTTTGCTTACTACGGAGTCAACTGTGTATTAAACATTTTGTGTGTCTAGTACAATTTGAGAGCAACGGGATGGAATATCAAAGTAGGCACTTTTTCCTTACCATTGCTTTCAACTGCCTTACATTGGCTACACTTTGTGGATGACTTTGCCTTATTTTTGTAGTATTATCATTACCTATCATGCAGTGACGACTAGCGAAGAGAATATATGATGTGTGCCTCTGTGTATTTTCATCTTGTTTTTCGTTTCTTGGCAAAAGGCAAAATTGTCTATGCTTGTGAGGAAGTCGGTAGAATGTGACCCTTTTTAGATTTTTTGTTAGTTCATTTATAAGAATGATGCCCAACTGTTGAAATGCCTTTTTCCTTTTAAAAGTAATTTTATGAGTAGATCATTACAGTATTTTATCATTTTCATTATTAAAGCAAATTTATTATCTTACCGCCTGTCTCACGGCAGCAACAAGAATATTTTGTATAGTGGGAGACACACAAAAGAGCGACAACATTTTCCCATTATTATCGTCATCCTTTTCTAGCACTGACACTTTTTCTGCCTAAACAGTCTGTGCGCATTACACAAATGTCGTTGTACTTCCTTATTTTATTACTATTACTGGAGTGGAAGATTGGCATCTTGCGCTGGATGTTACAAATGCTCCAACATACGTTCGAGCGGTATACCGCTCCCCAAATTGAGGTGCCATCTCCTAAACTGTTCTTCGACGAGGCTCCCGCGGTGGGGCCGCTGAGCCCGCATGCAGGTCCTGAGGGGTTCATTCAGTGCTATGATAAGGGCACCAACGTACCTCTGGGGACGGTGAAGGCATACACCAGCGACGACGTCCGGGCCGCCGTCGCTAAGGCCCGTATCGCACAGCGCGTCTGGGCTCTCACCCCCTTCTCCACCCGTCGCCGTCTTTTGTTCGCCCTGATGGATTACATTTTGGACCACCAACAGGAGATCGCTCGGACGGGGTGCATCGAGGGCGGCAAGACCATGATGGACGGTGCCCTCGGTGAGCTTCTGACGACTTTTGAGAAGCTGCGTTGGACAGCCGCAAATGGGGAGGAGGTGCTCAAGGAGGAGGTTCGTGATGTAGGCCTCATCGCGATTCATAAACGAGCCGCTGTTAATTACGTTCCTTTTGGGGTCATTGGTGCAATTGTATCGTGGAACTACCCCTTTCACAACATCTACGGGCCCATGATCTCAGCCCTGTTTGCCGGCAACGCTTTTGTTGGAAAAGTATCTGAGTATTCATCCTACTACGCGGCGTATTATCAATCTATTGTGCATAAAGGGTTGTTGGAATTGGGTTACTCGTCTGATCTCGTCACTTTTATTACTGGCTTCGCGGAGGCTGGTGAGGCGCTTGTGTCATCAGTTGACAAACTCACCTTTATAGGCTCCCCGGGTGTAGGGAAGATCGTTATGCGCAATGCTGCATCAACATTGACTCCGGTCGTGCTTGAGCTTGGCGGCAAAGATGCCGCGGTGATTTGCGATGACGCCGACCTGGATCAAGTTATTCCAATTATCATGCGCGGCACTTTCCAGAACTGCGGGCAGAACTGCGTTGGCCTCGAGCGTGTTGTGGTGCACGACGCCATCCATGACCGACTCGTGGAGGAGCTTACCAAGCGGGTACGCATCCTAACGCAGGGCCCTGCCTCGCAAGGGCAGTACGACCTCGGTGCCATGACGATGGGTTCAGCGGCGATTGAGAAACTACAGCGTCTCGTGGACGACTCCGTCGCGGCCGGCGCGAATCTGGTGTGTGGAGGCAAGGCAACTACTTACAACTTCTTCCCACCCACCATTTTGACCAACGTTAGGGCGACGCACGCCATCGCGCAGGAGGAGGCTTTTGGACCGGTACTTGTAGTCATGCGATTCAAAAATGATAAAGAGGCCATTGAGATTGCCAACGCGTGCCCTTACAGTCTTGGTTCCAGTGTCTTTAGCATGAACCAGGAGCGTGCCAGGTACATTGCAGACCGTCTCCGCACTGGAATGATCAATATCAATGACTTTGGCATCAATTACCTCTGCCAGTCTCTGCCTTTTGGTGGTGTCGGCATCAGCGGCTTCGACCGCTTCGCTGGCCGGGAGGGATTACGTGGAAGCTGTATTGTGCGTGCCTCCACATCAGACCGAATTCCCGGTATGAAAACTACCATTCCACCACTATTGCAGTATCCCATTTCATCCAAATCGTTTGACTTTATGCAGAACTTGTGTAATATGCTCTACGGCCGTGGGCTAGGCGTGATGAAGTCCACGTTTAATTTATTCATGTCTAAACCTGAAGCTAAGCCCAAGCAGGAATAAGTGGCACTTTAAATTAATGCAACATTCCGACAGGGAAAAAAGCATTACATTTAAACCAATTTAAAATAAAATATTTACACAACTTCTCTCGATCTTTATAGAGTTCTAGCCTTATTTTTTTTTTGGTGCGCATCATTTGATTATGCTAGTGACGCAAACATGAATTTTCTTTTTTATTCCTATATTTGGTGTGCTACTGTTGGGAAAACTTGAACGTGCTTACATACGTGAGACCCATTTTTATGAGATGCAGTGTTGCTTTATTTTCATCTTGTTTTGGTCCTTTGCTTTTATTGTAGGTCTGATTTATGTCCATTTGCCCTGGAATCTGCGGTGAGCTAGCCGTGGCTCCTTATCGTTTGTTTTTAGGTACCCTCCCCGAGCTAAGCGTGGAAAAACGCTTTTTGCGTCAGTTTCACGCCGTCTTTCCCTGGTACGCTCTGCGAAAACGTGTTAGGGAGCAAAGCAATGAGTTCATAGAAATTGATTTGGCAGCCTGCGATCCGGAGTTAATCTTACGCTATGCTCACGTGTACTACTCACGTCGACAGGTACAGGATGAACTTATTGAAAAGCAAATGACTACGCTCGAGACGGGCAGGCCAATAAATTTAGCTGATGCCTCCTTACTTGAGTGTCTGACTGGCTGTGATGCGCTGATATCACGGCGCCTTGAATATGAGCTTCATCAAATGCAGAAAGCTAAACGAGCATGCAATGTGCCGCATCGTCGAGAACTAAATCCGGAAGACATCCTTGAGCCGCATGACTACCTCTGCATGATGCGGGTGGTCGAGGAAGACATGTGCGGCGTGAAGGATGCCGAAATGAAGGCGCGTGCTTATCTGCCTCGCGGCCTAGTCGAATGCAAAGCACATGAGTTCATAGGCACGCTTCTTGGGGATATGGTTCCTCAAAAAGAAGGTGGATGTAGCTTAGATAAAAAGGACCAAAAACTATTGCAGCGCCTCATCCCCATCGACTATGCAAAAGTCGGCTGTGTTCAAAAGCTTCGGCCGGTAGACGTTACAACGTACTATCGTTTTGTTGGAGAGAGACTGAACCGATTCGATCCGATAAAGCAGTACTTCAAGCGTTGTCTGTACGGACATGTGTGTCGCAAAATGGCCACCCACCCTGGCTATCTGCGCAGTATTTCCATGTACTGGGCCCGGCACTCCGGGTTAGACCCCGTCTCTACGCTCACGACCATGTCTCTTGAGCTGGCGGAGGCCGTGTGCGTGCAGCAGTCGCTTTTCCCGGCGCTGAAATTTCACTCACAGTTCCTCTACGCCTCTCCGGATTTGATGCGGCAGACGTGGCGCACGGGCAGGGTTATCCCCCTCATGCGGTTGTATCCACTGCTCGGTGCCGCCGCGGCGGAGGATCTCGCCGCCGGGATGGTGGTCGAGGCTGAGTGGGCGCGGCTTTCGCTGTCGTCGCAGTCCGCACCCTTTCAGGAGAGTGTGCTGTACACTATGAGGGAGGCAATCGAGCAGGCAAGTGACTGGTACATAAGCAATCTCGGTGCCTTATTGGATCGCGTACAGGAAGGTGTGAAGGTGATTTGTCCGCCACTTTCCGAGAAGGAGAAGGAGCTACTTCAGACCGATGAGTATGAGCTAAGTGTTCCAGCTACCCCGTCACCACCCATGAAACCTACGGTGTAAGCTTAGGATTCAGGAAGAGAATCATTTGATGGCGGGCATCGCTTAGAATGAAATATCTGTAATCTGAGGAAGGAAATGAGAAAGACTTGAGTAAATTATGATTCAAGCAGGTTTGCATTTATTCGTGGTCAGCAGAAAACTTCTTCCTTTTGCACTTTATTCAGATATTTCGTTTTACTATCTTTCCACCGGTCTCCTGTTTCATATAAGGGAGGGGAGAGGGGAGACGATTCAAGGGATTCTTCAAAACCAGAGCAAAAGGGTGTAAACAGTTTGGCATGCATTTGTTCGTGGCCCGCCTTCTCGGATGGCTTCAAAGAGGTTCGCATTTCCAGTGCTTGATGGCGTAAGCCTTACCGGCTCAACAAAGTTAGCAGAAATCTCACAGGATGTCCTTTCTCGCCTGGAAAGTGTGTTATTGTCAAAAAAGAAAGCCAAAGTTTCTCTTAGCCGAAGAGAGGACGGATTAGCTTGCCTTTATAAAATAGGTTCTCAAGTCACACTCCCTTTGACGTTCCTTGGAGCGCCATGCGACGATAGTAGGTGCGAGGACGCGACCAATGAGCTTCAACAGACCATACTCGTCCATTCGCCAGGTCTCGCCGGAGCCTTTCGTGTGCAGTTAAGTGATCTCGCTTCGTGCCGTGGCCAGTTCGTTACCGATACCCATACCACATCGGCCGAATCGCAGCAGTTAGGTTCTCTATGCTTGATGGAGGTTCTGCAGGCCGCATTGCGACGACCGGGGCCGTGTAAAGGGTCGAACATGATGGAGAGATTGTATCTCAAGGGAAGGCGTCGTCACTTTTCTGCGCAGGGCACGACCCATCTCCTCACCCGCGGGGGCCAGATCAACCCAGGCGCCCTGAGGCTTGACTTTCCCTATCACACGGGCGGCGCTCACGCACTGAAGTGTTATATGGATATCACTGATGAGGCCTGCCGGCACTTTGGCGAGGGGGCGGCGCATGGGGGGAAGGTGCTCAGCCGGTATGGTGCGGCGGTGGGGGTGGGGGTTGCGCCCGACGCGGGCCTGGGGGTGGCCTGCCTTTATTGGCACCCCTACGGCGCCCAGGCGGCCTGTCTCGCGCCCGTCCTCCACGGCTGCCGCCTCCTTCCGGTTGGGAAGGTTAAGCTGGAGCTGAATGGGCCGACCACCTCCTGTGGGGTCCTCTACAAGGAGGACCTTCGACGCTACATGAACACTGACGTGGAGGGGGGGTGGGATACGAGTGTGTGGCTTTGTGAAGGTCTTTTCGGAGTGCGCCCGGGGCAGGCGTGGGGGGACGACGGACTCACTCAGGTGTTGGGCGTCGGTTTTAATGAGGCCGCGGGGGAATTTGAGCTGGTATTGAAGGAAACGGAGTCCGGGGCTGTTCTTTTTGCTGATGATTTAGAGTACAATCACTGATTCCGATTATGCTCACTTTAAGCGACACAGTTCAGTACCGTTCCTGAAGGCTTTGCAGCGTTTATTATATATACATATATATATATATATATATGCATATACATGTATATGCGCATTATTGTTATGTTCTTTACCTATGCAGCGGTTGCTACGGTCTTTATTGATATTACTCTTGCCTTTACTATCTCTTTCAAACCTCTCTGTTTTTGTTTTTGTCAGGTATATCAAAAAATAGTTCAGCACAGGAAGATAGCTGCTTGTTACCTACCACGTTCATATGGCTCAAATAAGCGTGGATGTTACATTTTTAGATGAGCCTGATCCCCTTGCGGATTCAAAAGTGCGGATGTCCGTGTTGCGTCGAACTTTTTTTGAAGACTTAGATAGGTCTAACAAGGTGAATTTGAATAAAATAGATAATTTGACGTTTGGTGAGCCTGCATCTTCTCAAGAAGCGTGCGAAAAGCCTTTAGAGAAAGAGCTTAGAGCTCCTTCTGAGAATTCGTCTGCTTCAGAATTTCATACGGATAGGCAAGTGGGGTGTGAAGCAAAGGTCATCACGCCGGAGTTCAACTCATGCGGGCACGATATTCTGGATACTGAGGATATTTTCTCGGCGTGGAGATCCCCGATCTCCACTGTGAATCAAGCGGGTGATCATGTGACATCATTACGACCAAAGTCCAAGTTATGCGGATATTTCAAGCTCACTGTAGCCATGCTTACTAACATTGTGGCAGGTTCTCTCTCTGGTATCATTTTTAAGCGTGTTTTTCGTTCAATAGCATCCACTGCAATGTCCGGTATTTTAGTAACCCAGAGTTTATGTATCATGGGATACGCTACAGTATCTTGGGGAGCTCTTGTACGCGATGTTTACAGGCTGGTGATTCGTGGCCCCGAGGTTGAATACAACCAGGGGGTGAAAAATAGGTTTTCCCTTGCTTGGGGTCGTCTGATATTCACTCTATCACAGTCTGCCCCCCGACGGGCTTCTTTCTGGGCTGGTCTCATCGCTGGGATATTTCTGCTTTAGTTAAATGGCCTATTAATTACCTTTTGCCTCACGTTAATAATAAAAAAATTATTCAAGATATATATATTTTTCCCAGATTAAGTGATAGACCGCTTAGTCAACGCTTAACCTCCTTAGAGTCAAAGGGAAATCAAAATGGCAAACCAACCAGATGCATAGTTTAGAATGTCTAATGTGGTTTCCTTCCAGTTTGTTTCAATCAATTCGTGACAAAAGCAGTCTTTGTTTTCCAAGCTTCTATGACTTAATCCAAAAAAAAAGGAGGGCTGTTTACTATCAAAAAAAGAGATTGAAATCAGGTTTTATTTCGTATAAAAGTATTTTCCTTTTTTAAAAATGGTTCTTTCTAAACTACATGGCAGAATGATTTGTGGCAGTTTCTGTTCTGCTCTCCCCCGAGGAAAAAAACACAGGTTATATGTTATTCTATGCGCTAGCTTCCTTCCTTTGTTTTTTTTTTTTAGAATTATACCCAAGATGATCTCCATAGTCAATTCTGACAAGGCACCAACACATCAGTTGAAAGACACCTTTGTTGAGGTGGGAGATTCAAGTCAAAAGGTAAATGCAAGTGGATTGACAAAGAATACTTTGCCCACTAAGCTGGCAAATCCCCTTCAAAATCGAGAGGATCAGCGGGAAACGTCCTGTGAGATCGCCAAGGATGTGCTCTCCCGCTTTGCTTTGATGGACCGCACAGTGTTTGTCTACGGCCTTATGGAATCTCCTTTGATACTGGAAGAAACAAGCGAGTTGCTATCTGAGATGGAGAGGCGGTGCGGTTCTCTTGTGGGAGCTTTTCGTTTCTGCGCTACCCCCCCACCCGGCTTCCAGCGGCCCGTTTACATAAGCCACGTATTTCTGGTTGTTTTCGAATCCTTGTCCTCCGTCGAGAAGGCCTTGCGCTTGACTGGCGAGCGAATTTCCGGGAATGTGATTGTTGTCAAGCCGTCCTCGGCCGTGAGGCCGACATCCCATGCCACGGAGGAGGCCTGCTTGCGGTCATTTCTGCCCTCCTCGTCTCGCGGGGAAGGCGCGGGCGGCAAATTCACTCCTTCAGTCCGCTTATGGACCGCCTTGTTCTCGACGGCGTCAGTCTACCACGTCGACTGGGCGGGCTTACGTGCTGCCGCCAAGCGACATGATGCGGTGATTTTAGACGAGTCGGAGGTGCTGCTTCCGGCCTTGCAGGCGGCCCCCGCGGGGGGACGTGAGGGGGTTCGGGGCGTGCCATCGGATCCTTCGGCGGGCACGCCCTCTGGGGCCCCGCAGCCCCTCTTTGGGGAGGTGGCGAAGATGGGGGGGGGGGGGCCGTCCTCACGGCGGACGCCCGCGCCTCCTGGGGCCGCACCCTCCAGCACCTTCGCCCCAGCCAACACTTTCTCTGTTCAGCAGCAGTACTACGACCGGAAGTACGGCGGCGCGCGCTCGTTGCCGCTTCTCCATCAAACCGGCGAGGCGATTTCGAAGATGCTCGGGTGGGGCTGGGGCGCGGTGGTGGGAAATTTTTCCCTCGCAGAGGACCCCCTCATGCCGGCGGATGGGGGCTTGGCGCATTCGATGCGGCCGGTCCCGCGGGTCCGCCATCGGCCCTCCGACAGCGGGGAGGCGGACGAAGACGAGCGCGGGGTGCGGCGCCGGCGCCTGGAGAGTAGCAGCACCGATGTCCCCCTCGCCCTCCAAGCCTCGGAGCGGTCTCACACGGGCCGGCGGCTCCCCACGGAGCAGGGCTTTCCCCGCTTGAATGCGGTGGGCTCCGCGTTGAGCTGGGTGCCCGGCTTCCGCTACGTCCTTCCGTTGTTCAGCGTGGAGGCGAGGGAGGAGGAACCTCTCCGAGGGGACGGCCCAGATGGACTGGGCGGGACCCCTCACGCA